AAGACTGTTTGACAAAGAGTTCTATAGCGCGACGTAGACGGTCTTCTACATCAGTAGCAGCGAGAAATGCTGCAGAAATATTAATAAATGGGCATGAAAAGTGAAAGATACTGACCGAGTTTGTCTGGGTATTGAGATGATACAGCAGCCACGAGAACATCTGCTATCCAAGCAGCACGTTGCTCTGAGATGTCCTCTACTATTGCAGCTACTCTTAGCCAGTCGTCTTTGCGTTGTGGCTGGAGAGAGTCCTTTGCAAGACGGTCGAGGAGGACGAGTGCAGCATGTTTGAATGCTTCGACTGTATCTCTTGAGGGGATTCCATCAGAGGAAGAATAGATGACAGTATGAACAGGAAGAGTGTCTGATTGATCTATGTGAATTGGAGAAGGGAAACGAATTCTTTCTATACCGTGGAGGGAAAGTAGATAGGGCTGAGTGGGAGAAGATTGATTTCTTGGTCTTACAAGACGAGCTATTCTTGCAGCAGTTCCGTATGTGACTTCCGAGGGTGAGTCAGGAGCTGGAAGTGGAATTGCAGCGAGAACTGCATCTGAATCAGCCAAGAGCGAGAGAATAGCGTCAGCGAGTGAACGACTGATAGGAAGCATGAGACGAGCAGTTGGTAGTAAAATCAGTGGATGAGGAAGCAACAAAACTGGAAGTTTAGATGATCCCATCACTGTCGTCGTCGTCGAGCTCAATGTTAGTTGTTATCGAGCTCGTCGTCGTTGCCGGTGGACCCGGTAAGTCCACAATTCACGTGATGTTTTACGCGGAAGTCATGTGATTACGCGTTCAAAACGAACCAAAGTATTGTTCTTCTTGAACCATCGCAAGAAGCTCCCATCGTCGTCGTCGTCGACGATGTGGTCGAAATTAAGTAACGCTCTCAAGCCAATCAAGGATGTCGACCAAGATCAACCAACAGACGTTCTATCAAGAGTCTACGAGCAACATCCAAACCTCTCTGTATTCCCCGAAACTACCAAGAAGCTCAGTCTACCCAAGAAAGTCAGATCACATCTTCATTTGAGAGCAAACAGTCAGCGTTTTTTTCATTGCATTGGTCTGTATTCTGACCATTCAAACAGGTTCACAAGTGTCTTTCACTCGAGGTTCATCTGACACAGTTCGAGATTCATCTCGTCCCTCGTTCGAAGGCAGCGTCAGGTCAATTCTCCGTGATCCAAAGACACCAGGAACTGGCCAAAACGTCCGGTTCTTCTCTCGAGATGCCTACAAAGCCATCAGCCCAGATACTTCAGCTTCCATATCCGAACCATCTCCAATCTCATTTGCAGATCGTCTAGCACGAGTAGCCCGTCCTTCTGCAATGGACGTATTTGCAGAGGCAGACTCTTCAAATCTATTCAACTCGAGCCTTGGAAATGAAATACCACAAGGACTCAAAACACCAATGCTAGATACGGCTATCGAAATTCCAGATGGTTTTCCTCTAGAAACTTCAACTCCCTTCAGAGGCCTCCCGGAAATACCGGTAGACCCTTCCTTCGCCTTGTCCCCCACAAACTCTACATTTTCAGGTGAAATTAGCATCCCACCCACTTCCCCTCCCCCGAGAACCCGTCGCTCCCGCGCGCTCAGCGACACAGTATTCCAAACAATGCTCAGAAAACACGCACCAGAAGCAGATATCAACGATACTTCGAACGCTTCACTCGTACTCGTTTCAGAGCCACCAGACCCATTCCGCGCAAACGCAACAACCTACTACACACCAGGAACAATGATTCCCCCTACCCCTCCCCAACCATCACACTCCCGCACAGCTTCAAAAGAGGAAGACATCATCTGGAACCTTCGTACCCAACTAGCTCTTTCACAAGAACTCTGCGCACAGTACGAGATCGACCTGGGAGCTAGAGATGAACTCGTTCAAGCTCTTACTCAACGCGCAGAAGTTGCCGAAAAAGAAAAAGAAAAAAGCAGAAACGTCTTGCGCAGCTGGAAGAAGAAAGCAGGTGAACTCGAACGCATGTGTCGCAGCCTCGAAGAGGAAGTCGACACCTCCCGACAAGAAAGCCTTGAGCGCAGCGTCATGGACGAGGCAAGCGGTGAAGCCCTTCGCATGCTCCATCGCCAAATATCACAGCTCGAACGCGAAAAGGAGGCGTTGCAAGACCACACGGATACAACCTACTTACGAGAACAGCTCCATGAAAAGGAAGCGGAGCTCAAGAAACTTGACGAGGAATTGAAGGGTCGAGATGACGCGGAACGTGTCTTGCGCGAAGAGATTCAAGAAGCTAGAGAACACATGGATTATCTCACAACTAATTCTGTACGGTCTTCGATGGCGGAAGAAGCTCTCGTCGTAGCAAGCAGGGAGGAACGAGAGAGGCATCAAGTCCTCGAACTTGCATGGGAGGAGGAACGAGCGCGAATGGGTAATGCTCACGAGGCTCTCCAGATGGAGAAGAACGCCCTCGCTGATGCTGTCCAGCGTATTTCTTCAGAATTGGAGTGTATCAACTCAGAACACGCCACCACCATCGGAATCTTGCACAAGGACCTCGACGCAGCCCATCGAGATTCCGCAGAACTCCGTAACACCATCGACGACCTCCAGAACGACAACGAAGTTCTCAAATCGGACCTCGAGTCTCTCGAAACCAAGTTTCTGAACATGGAAGAAGAATGGAGTGACGGCGAGAACCAGCGCATCGAACTCGAATCAGAGCTCCAGCGAACCACTGAAGAGGTACGGTATCGCATTCTTTCCAGTTGATCTCGCTTACTGACACATTACAGCACGAATCCCGCATCACATCCCTAACCGCCGAACTTGCCTTTGCCAACGAAAATGTCTCCCGCCTCGAATCCAACATCGAAGAGCGCGATGTCTCCATCTCTACCCTCACCACCACCCTCCTCAAACACACAGATGAAGCCGAATCCCTCCGCGAAGAGCTCACTACTCTCAAAGTCGAGCATTCCCGCGCTTTCTCCGCTCAAACCCGTGCTCTTCAAGATCTCCAAATCCAAGAAAAAGACTTGCGCACGCAGCTTGAAGTCGCAGTTCGAGAAAAGGCAGAGAGCGATATCATGTTGGGCATGAGTAAAGAGCGCGTGGGTTCGTTAGTGGATGAAGTCGCGAAGCTGAGGAGGGCAGTGCATGAGATGCAGCAGACGAGTGCTGCGCGTGAAGTGACCATTGTACAGTTGCGCAAGGAACGGGAGAGGGATCGGGAGGATGTTAACGGGCTTAATATTGCTTTGGATTCGAAACAGCAAGAACTTGAACTCGTGAGTCCTCTTTGAATATTTTTGGTTGTGTCTCATGTGTGATATCAGATCAAGAGAAAGATTTCGTTGAAGAGTGTCGCAGCGTCGAGTACCCCAGTTCCAAGCAGGGCTATAAGGCGCGAATCGATGGTTGGTACCCCTTCTTCATCCCGACCTCCTTCGTCTATGTCAGACGCATCGAAAGACGGGAAATCGGACACGCCTTCTACATCTTTAACGCCCCGCGCGAGCCTCAGCACTCTCACCCGCAGCGTGCGTATCAACGCCACCGCCAATCCCCCTGGCAAAATGGGACCTCCAGTTACTAAACCCCGTTCATCACTTGCTACGACCACACCTCCCACCCGAACATCACTAGTTTCATCTGCATCACACGCACCTTCGTCCCTCGGCAAGTCAAACACGACTACAAGACCTAGTGGTCTTGGGATGGGGATGACGCGGCGGGTGTCGACGAGCTCTGTAGAGAGTAATCTGAAGACACCTGTTGCATCTAGTACGAGGAGGGTCAGTGTTAGTTCGAGCGTGCCGAGTGAGGTTGATGAGAAGGAGAATGTGATGGTGGCTGTGAGCGCTAGAGTAGTGAAGGCGCCGAGAAGGGTTGTGCCTGCTTAGACTTGCTGCGCCACGACACAGCATCACTATTGTTCCGCTTCAAGTTTCGACACGGTGTCTATGCAAACCCCGCAAAGGGTTGTACTAATTTAGACCTCACCACGCTCTGTTCCAGCATATCACTAATCCCCGCCCGCATACATTCATTCCTCCCTCGCTCTCGGACACACCTGCTTTATGGCATATTTCCTCTTGATACACGGTACTGATATAACGTCGCAGTCATATTCCAAATCTCAAAGTCGAAGTCGATACCCTCATCTGCACTGTTTTATGGCCACGGTACCGCAGCACTATTGCATCGAATCTTTGTATGTCTGCTATCTCTCATATTATTATCTATTTTCCTCATACCATTATTTTCTATTACTTTTATTTTCCATTTTGTTCAATCATCCGATTCGTGGTGTCCATCAAGTGTCCATTGGTAATTCGTTTTGCTGCGTGTTGTGCTTGGCTGGTTGTGTGTATGTATATTTTGTAGTTGATAAATATATTATATTATGCTAGCAAAGTAATGGCAAAAAAATTATGTAACGAATACAATTATAGTAACGTTACTACTTAACGTTGCAATTGCTTTGCTCATAACTGTAACTGTCTCTTCGAATTCCTTCGATATGTCTGGCTGGTGGGGGGACCATACTACTTTGCTTGAGAACCATACTTCTCGCAAGTCCGACCCCGACGGGGCCCAGGAATACTTTGTTCCGTTACACTGTGTAACAGTGTTGTCACTCAGCTCAAATTGAACCTTTCATTTGAACTACAGCATCATGTTCAAATACTCAAAGTCGTCCTTGCTCCATATATATGTCAATGAACGTCGAATGTTCAACTTGATGAACTTGGAAGGCACGAAAACATCATATGTTCTAACCAACTTGTCACTCCTTGCTGCTAGCGCTAAAACTCTTCATGAAATCAAGTCATGGGGACTTTTTGCTATGTAAGCTAGGACGCCGTGGGTTGTGATGTTGACTTGTACGGTGATCGCATGACTCTCCCTCAAGAACATCTAACGGTCTACCACGTCTGACTTTGAAAGGAGTCGGGCTGTTGCATCGTAACGAAGCTGTCAAGTATCCCACAATCCCATCTGACATGGTTACATGACCGTCGTGTGTCCAGTCATTCGCGCTTCCGCAGGTTTCCGCTCGTGATGACGTTTGAATGCCAGTGATCGGTCAACTTGCCTAAAGCACAGAGGTATGTGTTATGGACTTCATTGCACCCGATTTCTTACCTATAAGTATTTTGAGGTCCTGGTTTGTCTGGCATCTTTGCGATCTTGTCTGTCCTTTCTCTTAGTGTTTCTGTCTAGTAAACATGAACACACTAATATCTGTGCTTTACCTTGGTCTCATAGGCCTTGTTACTGCCTTTCCCTTGTCACTCATTGCAAGGCAAGATGGACCAACTTCTGCCTCTAAGTCCTGCCTCTCGCTTCAAACTAGCTGTAATGCGACCACGGTTGATCTCACCAACTTTTACAACTACATGTCATGCTTCCTCCTAACTGTATGTTCATCAGACGTCGAGATCCCTGCCCAGGTCCTCAATGCATTCCATGCGCCTGCGACCCAACCTCGGCTGACCGAATCTGTCAGAATAAAATTTATCATTCGTGTTCTTTGCTAATTTGGTGGTGCTATAGGTTTTCTATGCCATTTCAAACGGGAATTCGTACATGACGGAACAAAACTACATTGATGTGTATTATCATCAGATTTCCATCACTCCTGATGGCTCCTACCCTGACGAGTAAGTCTTCCTACAATACTGTGAGGTTCGAATTCTTAACGATTTTATTTGTAGTGTCACTCACATTCGTGATCAGTGGTCGACCATCGCTGCTTGAACCGGTTTCTGCGCTACTGGAAGCATTCCTTATGAAAACCTTGCTGTGTGTACTCGTTGCTTTTAGATAATAATATCTCTTCTTCCATTTTTTCCAGGACTGGCTTGAGTATTCATCTGTGCCTGGAGTGTGTCCCGCAGTGGCATCGTGCAACACTACTATAGCGGCATCAACCATCCCATGTGTACCCCAACCGATAACAGACAATGGTTCATGTGCCGGAATGGCCACCCAGTGTCAATTATGGGTGGCCCAGGGTCTCTTCCAAAATGAATATTGCATTCTTGCAAGTTTCTGCTATACGTGGAGCAACACCGATGTGCTACTGCAACATATATACCCGTCTTCTACCCCACCAATGCCTCATACCATTCAACAGGCGAGGCTTTCTGAGGCGGTGTTCTATAATATGACAGGTGGAGCAGCATCAATGACTCAAGAGAACGTGATCGATGTATACTACGAAGGCTTGGTAAGTTATGCATTGGGCTGTGGTGATAATTTGACGAGCTTTCATATCAATAGACAGGTACATGGGCGTCTCTCGGTGGAATTTATGGAGAGATGCCTGAGAAAACCACGAGCGATGGGCCGTATCCAACCTCATGAGTTATCACGAGATCCCTGGAGAATATGACTGAACGTGTTTTCGTTTTCCAGTGTTGACTATGTCATTGAGTTCTGGGGTATCATCAGCGCATGGACCGGTTTCTGCGACACACGTGCTATCCCATATGCAAACCTAGTGGATTATCTCTCTGATGCTGCTACCAGTGGCTATCATCCAACTTGTTAGGGGAAATCGAGTTCTCAGTATCTATCAGAAGAACTGACTCCGACCTATTTATTTCTAATATTTTGATATGCCTTTCCAGATGACATTTTGTCATGTTAGTACCTGACCTTCGTTGTTTCAATGATAAGACATCTACTCACTCTCCAAGCCATTTCCAACTCCCACATTAGTGAAGGAGTCTGAGAGCTTAGTCGAACACAAAAATTACTCTGCATTCTTTCTCTGCAATTGACTTTAACTGCCAAAAAATCTCCACGTAGTAATGTCGTTACGGGCGAGTCAGCGAGATGTAGTAAGACAAGTTATAACTGTTTGTCTATGTTAGGATCTAAAACCGCATCGGCTTGAATCAATTGAACATTGGATGACTTTCCGTAGGATTTGGAATTCTAGATCTCATTCTAAACCTTAAAATTCGGAGGTTCAGCAAGGTAGAATTTATATCTAGAAACTTGTTCCAAACCGTAGACACAGTCTAAATCTACTTCTTTCAACATGGCATATAACGTCGCTGACGAAACTCTTGCTCTGACTGATGACAATGACAAAGATGATGAATTACAGAGACTCGTTGCAACTCTTGGCATCCTTATATTTGTTGGAGCTGAACAATCACGCTCTGAACGCCGGCAAGCAAGAAGAAGATATCTCATTTGTAGTGACCTACTTCCTAATCCACGTCTGAATACTCCCTGGCTAGCACTCTACTCAGGACAGAACAACTGTGCATTTATCACAACCATGGGCATTGATGTCTCTACGTTTCACCACATTCTCTCACATGGCTTCACAATTCTTTGGGATATCACTCCCATCCCCCGCAATGATATCTCTGTCACTGCTAACCCTCGTGCTTATCAACATTCCCTGGACGCTGCCGGTGCATTAGGCCTTGTTCTTCATTGGCTCAACTCGACCATGCAAGAGGTCAGCCTCATGCAAATTTTTGCACTTATCCCAACAACTGTCTCATGCTATCTACATTTTTCCCTCACTATACTACTTCGCGCACTCAAGAACATCCCCGAAGCCTACATCCAGTGGCCTTCTGGGGATCAATTTCAAGTTTTGAATGAACTTGTCATTGCATGTCATCCCTTGTTGATGGGGGGTTTTGGCACACTTGATGGACTAAACTTACCTGTGCAAACATCCCAGGACCAAGAGATCAAGAATGCAACCTATAATGGGTGGTTGCACAGTCACTTTGTCAGTTTGGTCATTGCATTTAGTGCTGATGGTGCATCATTGTCTAAATCATCCGCTGAGTCATTTATTCTTATTGCTACTACTTGCAGGCTCAATAATTCAATGCCGCCTCAATGTGCCTGGCAGCTGGCATGACTCCCGCGTGGCCCGACCCATCTATGACAAACTCAGTGCACACACACCAGATGGATACTACCTTGTCGCTGACACAGCTTTCCCGCAAGGTACAGATCAAATTTCTGGTCGCATCAAAGCCCCACTCAAGTCAGGACAACACCTCCCTAATGATCCTGCTGAAAGACAGAAGCTTCTTTCATTTGACTGGCAGCTACTTTCTTTTCATCAAATGGCAGAGTGGGGCATGCGCACTCTTCAGGGCTCTCCTTCGGACATCTTCGCATTCCCCTCAATATTAACTTCAGCAAGCAGTGTTGTGATCTGCTCGAAGTGTGTGTTCGGCTCAATAATGTACATGTTCAGATGGTAGGAATTAATCAAATACGAAGTGTATACATGCCAATTTGGCAAGAGGATGAGCAGGATAGGATGGTTTGAGCACAATTTGAAGATATGTTCTTTTCACGACAGTGTAGCAATGATCGTGTAGCTCAATTCCACAACACACATACTTAATGCGCAGTTTATTACCCATCTTATGCCCAGAAGAGTGTTTCATTCATCCTGTACTACATACTTCATACTACATACTTAGGTACCCCCATCATCTTCTAACTAAGAAAACTTTGCGCTGTTGAGAGTGCTCAAATTTTGCACTGTTGAAAGTGCTCTAGTTGCACTGTTGAGAGTGTTTGAGTGGTGCTGTTGAGAGCACTTGGGTGACACTGTTGAGAGCGGCTGAGAGCGGGTTGAGTCGCACTGTTGAAAGCACTTGAGTTCTGTTGAGATCCTAGTCTTCTGCATGAGCAGACAAGACACACTGAGCCATTGAACGACTCAAAGTAGGTGGAATGTGCTGAGTTGCAGTGCTAGCATGAGTTGGTGAGATTACAACGGATAAGTCATTTGTGCTGGTACGGGAAGATGTCGGAGTGAATGACACATTGAATTGTGCACTTGAAGAATGGATAGGTGATGTGGAGCGTCTGCAAAGGGTGTGACACCCAGTCTTTGGATCTTCGATGTAATCCTGTTGAGAGAATACATCATGGAGGCCATCATGATTGAAGTTAACCTCTTCTTCAGCATCAGGTGAGACCCAGATTGTAGATGCTCCCCCATCAATATATTTCATTTCATGGCATATGTATCATGGTGGTCGTGGTGTTCATGGCATCGGTCGGTGATCTGGACCTTTCTGCATGAGTTGAGCCATTTCCAACTGCATCTCTAGATGGTCTGCATGACGCTCAGCATTAGCACGCTCATGTTCACACTGCAAGAGCTGATCACGAAGAGAATTAATGGTCATGTGTGCATCTCGCAACTGGTTAGATGTAGATACGAGTTGAGTGGTCTGCAAAGTCCGAGCAGCGCGCTCGTCATCTCGAGCGGCTTGAGGGCAAGGATCAAGCGAAGCAGTGGTTGAAGTTAGAAGATCGAGACCTGAGGTGCATGAGGTGCGAGGTTGAGGAGTGGGTGTGCTAACAGAACGATGGGAAATACTAAGTGCAGGATCCTGTACCTCAGTCTTGACAGAGACCTTTGGTGTCCTGGCTCGCTGAGGTTCATCTTCATCACTCCCAATATTGATAACTTCATCAGTGAATTCATTGTCATCAAGATCACAGGTGCCAGCCTTCTCATTCATGTGGGAGTCGATTTCATGAGCGCGTTCAATGTGAGGAGGGCACTCACCATCACCAGTTGGCTTCGTAGTGCAAACCAGCTTAAAGTAGAACATCAGTACCAGAGTTCACAGTAGATAACAGTACATACCTGCTTAAACTTAAGCTCAAGAGATTTTGCGGGACAAGTGGGACGGTCATGGCTATCTGCCCATGCAGCAAACTCTTCCTCAACAGCAAGCCAACCCTTTGTGCCAAGTGGAAGGCAGTTCATGCATGCATCAAGCAGGGCAGCAACATCATCATCATTGTAATTCAGTGTACCTGAAGCACGACTGCTGTGACCTGGTCTTTTCTTGGTTGGTGGTTCAGTTGTGGCGGCTAATGATGTTCCGGCCTGGCTTCAGACGGCTTAGGCTTGCGAAAATTCGAGGCCGGGCCAAAGCCGCCAGTGACGGCTGGCTTTGGCTCGGCTTTGGCCTGAGCCGCGGCCCAAGTACTGAAAATGGAGAAACATGTTCAGCAGATAATTTACATCATGGAGTCAGCATCTGATTCTACAAAATTCTCATCTCCCTCCAGAAGAGCATCCCAGCCCTCCTCATTCCCATCTTCGACATCACTCAGCTTCTCGTTAGCATCCATTTCAATATCAGAGTCCTCGAGAGCTTCCTCAGTTGATGACGAGGGTCCAGGCTCGCGGAAGAGTAGATCATGGCGGAGGGCACATTTGATGCACTGTAGTGCCTCAACGATGTCGCCTTTGAGGCGGTTGCGGCGCTTGCTAATGGTAATACCACCCTGTGAGAATGCGCGCTCACTCGAAACTGACGACGCCATAATTGAGAGGTAGTCACGAGCTAGTGAGGTCCATACTGGGCCATATCTGTGTCCATTAATCTACAACAAAGACTGGTCAGTATTGAGACAAGATAGACTTGGATGTGTACTTACACCCCACCATTGAATTATGCTCATTCCAGGCGGAGGTTTCGTCTCTACAGCATCGACATAGTTTTCAAAACTGGCATACCATGGTCTAGATGGATCTGTATGGGTGACGACAGTCTTGTCATCGTCGTCTTCATCGGAGCTCTGCGCCTCGCAAATTAACTTCTTGAGTCCGCTAGCCTTGCCTTTCTTGACAAGCGAAGGTTGCAACATGGATGCTGCCTGGCCCAATTCAAGATAGCGAGCCTCAAACTAAATGACTTGTAAGTGATTGTAGGCTGGTGAATAACTTTGTCCAACATACCACTCATTTCGCGCAAGCGAGAACTTCGTCTTGCAAATCCTTGGGCCAGTTCTTCTTGAAGTACGACATTTTACCCGTTGGATCAAGCACTGCATGGAACATGAGCATCACGGATACATGGTAAATGGAACATACACATAGTCATGACATAGGCCGGGGAGTCAGTGGTCTTATCATAATACTCGTCGAGCTTTTGTGCAGCGGCATGCAATGCTGGTGTGGAATGTGAATATTTTGGCCGTTCTGCACGTGAAGACCAAGCTCGATGGAGAGTCTCAAGTGCAGGGATAGCAAGATGTAGTGTAGTAGTTGATTCTGACAAGAAGGCCTGCTGGGCAACGTCTGCGTACTGAAACATTAAATCAGCGGCAGGCACAATATCAAATAATGAAGGTAACATACCGATAATAGATCAGGCAAATTTACCAACATGGGTCCATTCATCTGGCGCCAGCGTAAGGAAGTCGATCTTAGCCCGTTTCGTCAAGTCTCGCTCTTGTAGCCCCATCTCATACATGAAGACGTACGTCAACATGCTGTTGTCAGAAATTAGACATTGCATTATTGAACACTGCAGACTACACTCACCTCTTTATTGCTTTCCACACGGTTGACCATCACATAGGTCGAGGACCAACGGACCTTCATATCCAGAAGGAGTTGTGTAGGGTGCGAGACGCCAGCCTTGACTTGCACTGTTTTGTAAAGTTCCTTACGTTTCGCAGATGATCGCTCCTTTGAATAATTCAGTAAAACGTAATGTGCGAAGAGATATCAATCACCTTTACGCATATCGAACATATGAGTCAGATCTCGTCACGATTTTGATGCTTGGTGGTATCCGGCTCATGAGCATGGGGATTGTGAGGTTCATAGTGCGGAGATTTGCTGTATGTACTGATCAGTACTTGGGTGCCGAGATTAATCACATGAGCAAGACAGCTGAACACTATGTGAGCACATATCAACTGCGAAACAAGTGACTTACTTGATCCTTCGTTCATAGCAAGGGAACTCCTTTTTGTGATGCGCTTTATAGAGTCGAGCAAACTCCTCGAGCATTGTGCCATTGTTAGAGGCATTATCACAAGTGACATGGCCCAACTATATATCATGATTAGACTAGTAAGCCAAGCAGAATGCAAAAATGACATGCCTTATGTGTGATACCAACATGATCTAAAACTTTGAACAGTGTGCCACCGAGACGCTTCCCATTGTGTGCATTGTTGAGCTGGGTAAAGCCAAGAAGTGTGCTTTTGCACTCCCATTGCATCGTTGACTTCTCTTCGATCCAGTGGCCAGTGACAGCAAAATATTCATCAGTGTTGGTGGCTTGCCACGCGTCACAAGTGATATTGATTGCTCCGCTAACAGCAGTGCTCTGTGTTGGCGGATGAGATGTGGTAAAGCACACACTGAATTGTGACATACATTTAATGTCGTCCGGAGTCTTGTCAAATGATTCTTAAATATTTGTATGATCTCAGCGCGGGTGGCTTTGCAACCGGGGATTTTGACACCATTTGTCGCCCGTGAAGCGACATCAATCATCTCCTGGAACTTCGGGTGTTCGAGGGCTTGGATGGGCTAGATGAAGGCGTGTCAATGGTCATACTATTAGATCAAGCAAAGCATACATACTTGGTCCGTCGCGACCAACCATTCAATTGCAGCTCGTTTGAATAACTTATCCGAGTACGGTATGACTCGTTCAGAGAGTTTGCGTTCAGTCAGATGCGAGTTAATGGTCCACTGTGCCTGCTCGGCCTTCTCCTTGCGGGCCTTGACGTCACCCGGTAACATAGACTCAAAGGAGTTCTCCTTCGCCCATTGTCGATACTTTCCCTACAGTATAATCATATATATATATGCACAATGAATATATGAAAGAAATTTACGCACCGCAAAATTTGCTTCAGCATGACGACAAAGTGTTGTAGCTTCGTTCACAAGTATACACTATTTCCTATTAATTTGGTGTGAGTGAGCAAGCGCAATCATGACCTTATGGACTTACACGCATAACTTGCACTTTCGGTGCTTTTTGACCTTGCCGTTGGTTCCCGTACGATCGAATGTTGCACCAAAAAAGGTGTTGAGATCCACAGTCTTGCCTTCGCATGTCGTAGCTGTGTCGGTAATGGGTTGGACATGAACATCAATAGGAATGCCATCATCGTCAATCAAATCTACATTGATTGGCGCTGATTTGCGCAATCTTTTGGCTACCAGGGTATCAGTTTTATATTTGCAGATGGAAAAAGAAACTTACGTCGTGGATTGGTGCGTGCATCTTCACGTTCCTTGGTGTGTGCATCCTCGTATTCCTCTCCATCAGATTCATCAACAACTGCTTCAACATGCGTCCGTTTACCCGTTTTGAGTGCTGCCGAGGTTGCCAGGGTTGAACCTGATGGTGTGGTGTCACCTGTTGAGCTGGGGGTGGTTTGATCCGTGTTGGAAGCGTGTTGAATTTCAGGCAAATGCCTCATAGCCTCAGCTGCACGAAAGGTGTTGATGGCCTTGGTTTGGGATGGGAGAGCCACCTTCTCTGAATGTTGGAGAAGGGCGGCACTGGGCTTCTTTTGACGGACTGGTCGTGCATGACATTCATCATCACTGTCTGTGTGGATGGTTCCAACCATTAGAGACAAGTAGTAGGAAACAGATATGAAAAAAATACCATCACAGATGCACACCTTTTGTCCGAAAACAAATGTGCTAGCTGCCAAGCTTGCAAGTCGCAAGAGACTTGTAAAAGAGGGCAAATTACTGAAATTGATCTATCCACCAGCAACAAAGTGAGTTATGTCGTGCTTGGAAAGAACAAAGATCAGCAACTCACTGTCATGAGCTCATACAACGGTAAGTGAAAGTCTAAAATGGGATAGAAGTGGGATTCTGGGGTCGTCAAGTGAGTGGTGTTTGCGACGCTGCAGGCACAGTTCTGTGTGACATAAGCCGCAGCTTGAGTCGCCGGCTTTGGCTTCTCAAAATCTCAGGCCAGGCCAAAGCCGTCACCAAGCCGTGACTTTGGCCTGGCCCATGGCCTGAAGCCGGGCCATGCACATCACTAGTGGCGGCCACCTTCCTCTTGCCTTTAGCTTGGGATGGAACTGCATTGGAACGACAGCTACCAGCAACTTTGCGGGCAGCAACAGAACTTGGTTTTCAATCAAATTGTTGTCCTCACCATCTGATTGCTCAGGTCTATATGGTACTCCGGAGAGCACACTGTAGGGCTGACCAGGCAAGAACGGAGCTGAATATGAGTTTGGTGGCATCACGCCATAACCAGGCAGAAGTGGAGGGAGGGGGGGGGGGGTATGTGAATGTTTGACCAGCGGGCTGCATAACAAAGAGTTCGAGGCTTTGTAGAAAGTTAGAGAGAGATTGATGATACATATATTGAATGTAGACATACAATTTATATTGCAAAGTGCATGGTGTGGAGTGTAGCATACGCCTGAAACAATCACTGATTAGTGTAAAAGGGAGATCCAGGAGACTTGGACATACGAAAAACATGGTGACAATGCCTATCTTCGCTGCTTCACATGTAAATGTGCCGTAATCACCTAGAAAAATTGTAAATGAAGCTCCTGCATGAATGGGAGCATGCATGGCACAGAGTGATGGAGCACAGACTTACCTGACGTTGCTTGTGCGGTATGACGTCGCGGAGACTGAAACGTTGTTTAGAACGACGATCTGAATCTGGAAGGGGGGTACCCCCCTTCCAGATTTCGGTCTGGAACAGGGTGCGTTTGACGTGCGGAGTTGGAAATCGCTTACGTTTCACAGCGGCTCCTCGGCACATAACGTTTGAATCACATAAGTCCTACGGGAAGTCATCCATTGATTCAAAGCACTGTCACGTACGAGGTGACTCTCATTCAAAAATTCTGAATCATTCTGCACAGCATTTTCTTTCCTACGTATGCCGGACACGACCCCCTATTAGTACCTGTCCATCGAGTATATCATCTTTTGCATTTTGCAGGCATAGTCACAATATGTCAACTCACTTCCGCGCAGAAGATTCTCAGCTTATCAATGATCTGCTTCGGCTCTCAAAGAAATCTCCCAAGCTGGTACGATCAACGGTGTATAGCGTGCCGTCAGATCCCTCCATCTCTGTTCGAAGCTGGAAGATGAACGAGTTCAAGTACTATGACATTCCATCGCCATTTCCAACGCTAGCGAGAGGTCTATTCAGCCGTGAACTTCCATGTGAAGATGGCTCTAAGGGAGAGCAAAAGCACCAAATCGTAGCTCGAGGATATGATAAGTTTTATAACATCGGAGAGGTCCCGTGGACCGATGTGAGTTGTCTCCAAGTCAAACCGCCTGCACATCGCCTCATCGGGGTTCGTTCGCAGTGGTCAACACTCTCCTTACATACAGGACCCACGTATACATTGTCACTCAAATCTAATGGATGCATAATATTTATCGCTCCCATCTCTCCTTCGAAGCTGATCGTCACGTCCAAACATGCACTGGGACCGATGCAAGGGGTCAAAGAAACACATTCTGAGGTCGGCCACCGGTGGCTCAAGAAGCACTTGGAAGAAAAGGGCAAAAACGAGGAACAGCTGTCATCGAGATTGTGGGAGAAACACTGGACTGCAGTTGCCGAGGTATGTAATACATACAAGCAAGCAAAAGTTCTAGAACTAATTATTACCCCATAGCTTTGCGACGACAGGTTCGAGGAGCATGTACTTCCTTACTCTGCCGAGAAGTCGGGTTTACACCTCCACGGAATAAACGAGACTTCGAAGGAATTTCATACCATGCCTACAGAAACGGTCGATGCATTCGCAGAAGAATGGGGCTTTATCAAGACGCCTACCATCACTCTGAACTCAATTTCAGAAGTGAAATCTTTTACCGACGATATTGCGAAATCTGGGAAATGGAATGGCGAAGCACTCGAAGGATTTGTAGTCCGTTCGCACATTGTCGATCCAAAGCAGGGGTCTACCCCTCGCAATGCGCGTCCGCCTTACCCAACAGGATCCTCTTTCTTTTTCAAAGTAAAATTCGATGAACCGTACATGATGTATCGTGACTGGCGGGAAGTCACCAAAATTCTCTTGTCAATTCAAGGATCACTCAAAGACGTCAAACTGCCGAAGTCGAAGTTGAAGCGGAAGGAGACCCAACTTTATGTCGAATGGGTAAAGAGGGAAATAAGGCATAATCCCAGCGCATTTTCGGAGTATTCGAAAGGCAAAGGCATCATTGCCACTCGCGAGAGGTTCTTGAGATGGATGGAGACCGACGAAGGGAAGAAGGGGTTGGCCGTGCAGAGTGAGGCAACGCCAACCGCCAAGGAGTTCGGGAAGACGATCATTTTACCTGTTGCCATTCCCGGGTGTGGTAAGCGCTCGATTTCCGTCTCGTGCCTGTCTTCACGGTTTCTGCTTCACAGGCAAGACCGCTATTTCTATTGCGCTTACATCTCTATTCAATTTCGAACACACCCAGAGTGACGATATACAAGCGAAAAAATCAGCCCCTGCGTTCATCAGGAATGTTGTCAACCTCTTGAAGTATCACGATATTGTTATAGCTGACAAGTATGAATATGCTGGATCTCATGTTGCCCTTGTGCTAACCTGCTACAGGAACAACCACCTCAGACAACATCGTGACTCCCTACGCGAAGCCGTCGCCAAAATGGACCCCCCTGTTCGTCTCCTCGCATTGAATTGGTCACTTGATCGACCTCAAGCGATAATTCATCGGATATGCGGTGATAGAGTTCTTGGGCGTGGTGATAAGCACCAGACTCTTCGTGCTGACACCCTGGCCAAGGCGCATGAAGACGTCATATGGCAGTTCATCCGTGCTTCAGAAGAGCTTTCCGACGAAGAGGTAGACGTGAGCATTGAAATGGATATCGAAGATACCCTTGAACAAGCCGTAGACCGTGCAGTCACTGCGTGCGTCAGCATCCTTCATCTTCGACAGCCAAGTGCAGAAGAGATCGACCAGGCTGTGTGCAAGGCCCGTAACTACGTGCCTCAGACAAAGAGGCCTCAAGAAGAGAAGAAGAAAAAGAAAGATGAAGAACCCACGCCGCGCTACTTTGGACTCCTCCCCGAAGTCGACCTCATTGATGTCATCGGGAAACAAATGGAAGGCGCATCGGACGTACCAGAAAATGGAAAAGCATTCTGGAACGCCCTCGTTGCCGGACATCGTGTCCCTGCGCGCCCCCACATCACTATAGTGCACAGCAAATCCCTCCCCGATGCCATTGAACTTTGGGAGCGGTGCTCACAGCTTCATAGAATGGCACTTCCTCCCTCGTTCACCTTCACTCTCGGTCGTTTGGTCTGGAACGAACGAGTTATGGCCATCACTGTGGATGATTTCAAGCTCGACGGCTCACCAAACGATCACTCTTCCGCAGGTCAGGAGGGGAGTGAGTTTGTGTCAAAACTGTCGGAGGAAGTCCGAAACTCTTTGCACATAACAGTTGGAACACGCGATCCTGAGGTACCTCCTTTTGAAGCGAAGGCTCTTGTGGAGGCTTGGCGCTTTGGGAAGAGATTGGGAATTGGCTCACTCGAATCCGATGGGCTGACAACGCGGGGAAGAATCAAAGGACTTTTCTATTGAAGGTGCTGTGGTCTTGTTTCTTTTAGTTATAGCCTCATGACCATTCATGCAACGTATATCCTCTCATCAACTCCGCTATTGGATAAACCACTGAAAATTGTATCAATACTGAGTCATTAGCACAAACAACTTGAACTGAGAACTCGATGTCATTTTCTGGGCGCAATCAAAACACGACGCGTGGGTTTTGGACGTGACTATCGGCCGGTGAACAATGAACATTATGCAAATGTGCATACCGAGGAAGTGCAGATCAACGAGGTCAAACTTACTTCTCGGATCGGTCTTATCCAAGCCTTATACTGTTTATCTCAATGTAACCTCGTGAAAATACTACTAGTAGGAGATAGACTGGTGACCGGCAAGGAGGTACGAATCCTTCTGTGTCTTTCTTTCATGTAAACCAACCCTATCTCAGCACGAGTCCCGCATTAACGAACTAACAAGCGCCCTCGAGAGAACGCCGTCTCTCGGCCCGGGAAGCATTCATCGTCTCCCTCCTCACGGAGAGTCGGAGACAAAGCCAAATCCCTTTGCGAAGAAATCACCTCCCAAAAAGTTGACCAATCTCGTCTTTCCTCCGCGCACGAGATCTTGAGAACTCTACGCGCAGCCCGAAGTCGCTCCTAGGGATCAGATAGATATGTGCAACACGAGCAAGGAGCGCGAGTCTGAGTCTTTGATGAATGAAGTCGCGTATCTTCGGGGACTGCTTAATCTCCCCTAGAACGCCGTGAACGAATTGATAAAGTATTTGTACATGATCCACTATGGTGACTTGATGTGGAACTTGAAAGCTTGACAGATGATCCGAGTCCAAGATCACATACGAGTAATTCCTATATTTCATTCTATACCTTCCACAAGCTTAAATCTTGTTATTTGTACAATTTTATACAGGTTTACTTCTCAAGCATCACCGCAATATACCTTAGAGTTTGGGAGCCTCGACGAAGGCGACACCCTAAAATATCGAAATTGTTAGGTGAGGCTGAATTAGACAAAAAAATTCAAACCTTCTCGATATTGGCAGAGAGCTCGGGGAGAGCAGCATCGACCAGCGCCTTCTCAGCAGGGGTGATCTTGCCGAGACCATGAATCTTGGCAACGCCATCAACCTGGGAGCTCATCAGCGTTAAAGACGTTCAGAACTACGATGTTCACCTACGCCGAGTTCGACCGGAGCAGAGAAATAATCTAGGTCCTTGCCAATTTCCTTCTGGAGGGCGTGACCACCCGTCTTGTCTGAAGCAAGGTTGACAAATGTCGGGGTGACGATTCCCTTTTCGCCGTTTACGGCACGGATCACTTTCCCGGCGAACTCAGCACCTGCGTAAGCCATGGAAAGGGTTGCTGAGCCAGCACCGTCCTTCGCCTTGACAACTTCATCTCCGCCAAATTGGATGCGGTTGACAAGGCTATCAAAGGCAGTGGCGTCAAGGGATGCTGGCAGAGGGTGGGAAGATTGAGAGAGCAGGGGAACAATCTGATGTTGCGTTAGTCACTTCTGAATATGAATATTCGAGAGCACGACTGACAGTAACACCACTGTGGCCACCGACCACAGGAACTGATACTGACGGCGATAATGAACGATTGCCGAGAATTTCAGAGACAAAAGTCGAAGCGCGAACGACATCCAGCGTTGTTACACCGAAAATCCTGATTACGTCCTATTAATGGCGGACATGCAGTTCGTATCACGATCTTACCTCTTGGGATCAAAGACACCGTGCTTCTTAAAGACCTCCGCAACGATAGGGACTGTCGAGTTAACCGGGTTGGAAATTACGAGGACGAAAGCCTTCGGGGCCGTAGTGGCAATGCCAGTAGCGAGATCGCGGACGATACCAGCATTAATCTATAGTGTATAAGTGATTAGACAACCGAATATAGCTGAGTAAGCTGACCTTGAACAAATCATCACTACATGGTGCCATTAAAAAAATCAATAATGATACACAATGGCCCGAATAGCAACACCGACCGAGTCATCTAAGAAATCGCATGAGCCATCATTTGATTGAATAATTGTACACAAGAACTCACGCCAGGCTTTCTTGGAATACCGGCAGGAATCACGACGACATTAGCACCAGTGAGTGCTTTCTTGAGACCATCATCGGGGGGTAGGAATCCTTCGACTTTGGCAGGGGTAGCAATATGAGAAATGTCCACGGCCACTCCGGGAGAGTTTACAATATCATAAAGAGCGAGCTGCATTATGTATATCATTCACCATCTGAGCTAGATGTATGTCGAACACTTTACCTCTGTCACAGCAGGGTTGGCCTTTAGGAGAAGCGATAACGGCTGGCCGATACCACCTACAGGTGATTAAGGGATCTAAGCAATCGCGTACATAAGGAAGTACTACTATACCTGCAGCACCGAGAACGACAGCTTTCATGATGTTTGAGAGTGTGGAAGAGTGAACTTGAAAGAGTTCAAGCGCAAGAGATATCGGAAGAGCGATATATATCGGGTAGGACCTATTAGGATATAAATAATTAATTTGAAATATATACACAGAAATTCTTGCGTGCTAGGCACTGCTAGCTATAGCTAGTGACATTGCAATTTCTCGCCTCCTAACAAGTATCAGCTCTGATCATGGATGTTCATGCATCGACATTTTCGCGTAGTAGCTGTACCAGAATACGAGGACGTGAACCGCCACGACGAAGATGAACACTTTGCGGGTCTCAAGGTCAAACTGAAAAACGTCATCTAAGTTGGTATGTGTCAACATCAAGGTAATCACGATTTAAGGGCATCTATATCTGCGTTGTCCAGCAGAATTTGCGTCCCGGTTAGGTGTGAGGCATCTCCGTACTGGACAACAGTAGACCCAATCCTCTGTTCTGATCCAGATCCGATTGTCCTATATTCCACCACTGATAAACTAGCATTAGGTATTTTCGGTGACGCTTCTAACAGATCCTCGGTGCACTCTAATACCCCAGTCGTTATCATGAACTTGAAAAATGAACTTATAAGCCATCCATGAGACGTAACCAGAATGTTCCGACATCTTCCGTCAGGATTTTCGGCAAGTGATGAGATGTATGGAACAATCTCGCGATTATACCACCCGACGGATCGTTCGAGCATGGCTTCCTTGGGTTCAAGGGAAGGTTCGTTTGGGTTTGCTGGTCCCTTTGTTCCTTGTAACTTCCCCATAAACTATGAAGAGACCCCACATAACGGCGAGCTTCAGAATGACTGCCAGGGAGTTACAACGCATTCTTACCCTCTCTCTCAGAGCTTGATCTTTCGCCAAGATGACTTCGGGATGATGCTGCAGAATTATCTCAGCCGTCTGCATCAAATAGCACATTTTAGATTTCATTAATCAGTAGAGCCTTTCAAGAAACATACCTTGGAAGCTCTTGAAAGATCGCTCGTGAAAGCTTTGTCGAAATGGATTGCCTTCAACGCTTCTCCAGTCATAGCGGCCTGGCTTTCTCCTAGATCATTGAGCTGGGAATCAGCTTGACCTTGGATAATTCTCGCCCGGTTCCACTCGGTCTCCCCGTGTCGGATCACATATAAACGAGTAATTACCGTCATGATTGTCCTAATAGGCGCGAAGGAGGGCAAGGCCGGCAAACAATGCAAGGACACGAGTACGAACGCGATACTCTCACTGGAATCATCCTATCAATACAATCACCCCAACAAGTTTAAAGCCAAAAATAATTATGATGGAGTAAATTTCTTATCTCACCAAATAGCATCAAACATCTGCTTACTCGGAAAAACTATCAATTCAAACAAGAGGTTGATAATTCATTTGGAGAAATACAACAGTGTATGATGCTACAAAGTTACTACTGCATAGGTACTTTCTTGATGCGAAGAATGGTTTTGACAGTCAGGAGACTTCGTTGACTTCATTTCCGTCTAGAGCTCATTCTTTTTCTCCTCGCCCCATTTGATGTTTTCGGCAACCTTTTCATCAAATCCTTGCTCCTTGTACTTTCCTCTTGGCATACTCAGCATAATCCTTGCCTTTCGCACCATCACCCTTCTGAGGGCACCAATACCACGCGCTGCCTTTCTTATCCTCCGCGTAAGCACGGGCATCACCAGTCTTCTCGGAAGCGCTGTGCGGATGACCACTCAGGAGCTAACGAAGAATCAGTTTGAACAACTAAACAATCGCACGTAAACCAACCTCGAGTATTTTGGCCAGTCTATCCTCAACCGCGCCAACGCTGCTATTGACAATCTCCTTTAACTTGGTGAAAATCGTGTCAGCACGATTGGTTGTCTGGACCCAGCGAATACGAGTCTCCTCTGCGATAGATGAACACTAGGTATAGCAGATCAAAATTTAGACACGTACGCAATAACCCGGGCCTATTTGTAGGGAGTGCAGCTTCGCTAACACCACGCTCGCGAAGGTAAGCACGCAAGCGAGCGTCCGGCCACATGAGATATGCAGCAGTGCGCTCAGATATATCGTTACATCTGAATAGGATGTCAGGGCATTTCGAAGCGCGTCGCGGGAACGGTACACACTGTTTGTCGATCAAGCTCACCAACTCATCACGCTTTTTTCTGTGCAAAGTTTATATCATCAGTGTATCCGTGTTCAGAGAGCCATTGACGAATGTCTGAGTCGTTCCAAGCGTCCCATACGCTGTCGGAGGCGGAAGCGTAGTTGTCCCTATAAAGTGATTAGGATCTGACAAAAGACGAAGGAGGACAACTTACTCGACCATCTTTACCAGTTCATCACGCTTCTTTTGTGCGTCACTCTCGAGAAAACCATGCTCGACGAGCCAAGACTTCAATTCACTATCAGACCAAACACTCCAAACCTTGTCATGCAAGGAGTAATAATACTTCTTCATCTCTCCAAGCAAGGTAGAACGCGATGCAGTATCGGAAGGAGAAAGAAGGTTGTGCGAAATCAGCCACTCGCGCTTAAGAACATGTCAACAGCATCCATGACCCTGAAGCGTATATACATACCATATACGAGTCACTCCAGACATTCCATACTGGTTCTACAGCTGTGCGGCAATAGTCGTTGGCGAGCTTCATGAGCTCGGCATGAGTTAGGCTAGCCTGTCTAGCACCAACTACTCCATGATCTTTGAGCCAAGATCTGAGATGATTATCATCCCAAGCCGAGTATACATAATCCCTGCTGTCGTCGAAAGCACGACCGACGTCCTGGGTAGCCTGAGCTACGATGCTGCTCGCGCTGTTAGACGCGTCGTATACTGTATTTCTAGCATCGGAGTATGCCGAAGTGGCGGTTTTAGATACGAGGGATGAGTAGTATGATGCGGCATCGGTATAGGAGCGATGCTTGTGTTTAGCAAGCAAAACGAGCTGATCGCGGGGTCCAGAAGGCGCTACCACGCCATGTTCAAGCAGAAACGCTCTCAATTTACTCTCGTCCCAGGTGTCGAAAGAATTCTCTTTCAAGTCTTGGAATGCATGCCGGGCACGAGTATATTTATCATAGCTCCACTGCGTACTTGCGTCAGCGTATGCATGACACTGTTCAGCCAAAGACGGAGGTGGAGGGGGAGGAGAAGCCCAGTTCGCCACTACGAGGTCATGAAGCTGAGATTGATCAAAATGAAAGGGGACCTTAATGTGGTGGTCTTCAAGCCAGGAGCGCAGCTCGGAGTGGGACCATTTGTCATATTCAGGGTCAGAGCCAAACCAGCTCGACGCGTATGCTGAACTGAGGAGGAGAATAACATAGACTGAAGACCCGAATCGCATGTTTGTGTAGAAGGTGAAGGTAAGAAGATAATGACAGAACTTGGGGAGTACTTATAGGAGCTCTGGATGATGTGACGTCAGTAACACCACAGATGGCTCCAACGGACACCAACCTTCAACGCAACACGAGTGTTCTAGTGTAAATTCGATAAAATGCCTCACAGCCATTCCCTGCATCGTCGCAGACTGAACCAGAGCGATGGCAAGCCGCCGGCCCCGATCAAGAAATCACAAGTTTATTTTTCAGTGCTACTAGTTAGGCCCTGCAAACTTTTACCTTGCTCCGTGGCATGAAGTTTTTCTCTGCAACTTGTTCATGAGGCGAGAGTATCACAGTATAGGTTTGATGCAGCGAGCGCTATGAGTCCAATTGCAATAGGATGTATACAAGTGTGGTGGGCACGGATACGATGATAGGTTCAACGCTCCAGACTCGGCTAAGGGCCGCAGTAAGCCGAGGACCGTATGTTCAACCGTATGTTATTCTATTTTATTGGGCTCCTACCAAGTATATAATATCGCGCGTTTGTAAGAAGCCCCCATATTTTATTTCAATCACAACTAGGCCTGTATCTGGTTAACATTGCAAAGGGACTCGTTGTGCCGACATCTAAAGTTCGAAAAGACTTCTACCTGCCGTCACAACAAGCCTAAGCAGCACATGCGGAATAAATCACACGATCACGGAAGTTCTTAAATCTGTCCAAGGCATAGCACCCGTTTTATGCACTAGTGTCAGTCAACGCCCAAAACTGTGAACTCATACTCTCTTCTAATATTTCCTAACGCGTTGGCGTATAAAATCTGTAGCGACTCTTTTGAAAAATTCCGGATCTTCATGCCAGCCGCTACAAGCTCTATTTACAGGCTGCAGCAACTTCTGCACTGGAACTTACTGACACACTTCGTTCTTCACTTCCGGTGATTAAATCTCCACTTCGTCAAGGTATGGCAGTACTCATCACCTCGACCTGACCTGATGCTGACGATAAAAGATGCGATTGCATTCAGGATATTCATTATGGAGCGATTACTTGCCGGATGAATATCTGTCTCTCGCGAAATTCAAGTATGTATCCTGGACCGACCTCAGCCAAGCTTGGGTTGAAACCATATCGAACAGGCGATATTCACAGGCGGGAGTCTAATGGCATCTTCTGCGTGCCTGTGGGGGTCGGGACTCAAGATCCAATGGCTGCACAGTGTGCTGTGTGTGCATTTCCATTCCTTCCTCGTGATCATGAGGAACTTACTAACTATCAGCCCTGACAGATCCATTGGAGCAGTAGAAGTAGCTTTCAAGATCCCAGTTTGTTTACGATTTAAAATAATGCGCGCGCCCTGATGAATGGCCCGAGCGCTCATAAGTTTTCCTTAAACAGATATTAGAACAATGCATATGAATGTGCGGCACCAAATGTTCTTCTGGGGCGATTCGTATTGACACATTTCTATCGGAATATTCAACGCTAGGCAATAACACACCGGGAGACGGCCAACTTACCGCCACGCTTTCCTTTCCGCTGTTTCTCGTATAACAACCACTTCACCAAGTTGTGATGTCGTCGTTATATTAACCTGCCGGAGGAACCTCATTTGATTCAGGCTGACTGTCATTATTGCCCACTGTCATATTCTCGCCTCTGGTGCCCTTCTTTGTTGACACCCTTCCTACGTAGGCAATTTGGATTGACCCGGCGGCACAAAGGAGGAAAAACACACTCAGTACAAGCTCGTATACGCTGAAATCGGGTTCTTTTTTCCAAAGGAAAAGCCATGAAAAATACCATTGATGATGTTAAGTAAACCTGTGATGGCTGGAATCATAAGAACATCAGCAGCCGTTCTTGTTCAGCATAAACAACTCACCGAAACTGTAAGTCGCAAACGGAACTGATCAGTCTGACAAACGTTAATGTATCCATTGCAGGACAATGCTTACTATATTCTTCCCGCTCTGCCTAGTTTTCCATTGCTTGGACTCAAGGCTTCGCGGCAGTATTCTTCCGCTTTCGGAGCCCCACTCTGAAATACTGCTTCCGGCGTGCTTTGGTGCTACCAGTCGAAGACAGCACCAATAGCATCCAACAAAAAATACACATGCGAGAAATATGGTTCTCGCCCCGAGCATGTAGAAAGCGACATAAGTGGCATATGGCTTCAGTACTGGAATGGTTGAGCCAAGATAGATAAAAATGACTGCTACGCTGACGTGCAAATTTTAAATCATCGTAGTCAAGAAGAAATTGACGATTTACCAGAAGCTATTGATGGCATTCGAACTGCCAAGGAGCAGTGGTCAGTTTCATGTCATAAATACTTTCCGTGGACTGATTGCTTACAGGAGAACGATACCAGCACGGATGACTCCCAACACTTTCTTGACAGTCAGCTTCTCAGTCGACGGTGGAGGCTCGGGCAAGTTTGACATAATACTGTTCAATTGCACTGGTGAAGGTGAAAAATGATGCTAGGAGGACTGCATGATATACTTATACACATCGCCAGCTGCCGAGGCGTTGTACAGCAGTCTCACTGAGCCGATGTGAATGCTATTCTAGCCATCAATGCTGCGGACTCACGATGTCACATGTTCAGGTACAACACAGAATTTGTACTGTTTCAGTAACGGCACGTCTCGTCTGACATAGGACAAAAATGTGTCCTCCACTTGCTGCACCTCACACCCAAGATGCAACTCGAAGTCGCAAATCCAATTGCTACCATTATACTTCACCTGTATGTCTACTATACTCAACGAATTACCTCTAGGCGAGCTAAATTTTGACGCATATAGCCTCCGCGCCGCGGCAATGCTTTGGTAAGTATCTTGCATGGAGAGCTGCGAAGATTTCTTGCGTATAGCTTCTGACTTTTTAAACTCGCCGTAGCATGGGGATTATTTTCCTGCACCTCGCTCATAGAGAGCCCGAAATTAAGTACTATGCGTTCTATGCTGGAGCACACGCAATCGTGATGGGTGCTCTTGGGCTGCTCTCCTCAAGAAGCACTTATCGAAATGCTGTTGCGAAGAAGAGTATTAATGAGGCAACGAAACCCCAGTCAAGCGTAGAAACTGCATATGAAACTACTGGGACGGAGGACGGTTGGGAAGATGAGAAGACTCGAGGAGTTTCTGAGAATGCAGACGTGTTGGTTTGATTCATGTGCTGAGCTTGCTTGTGCAAGTACCAAGCAGGTATCTCATATTATAGTCCAAAACTCTATTTTCCTAGAAGATATATGTCGCTCCGAAGTTCTTTTGCGATGCACAATCAAATATCTCCTTCAATATACTGGGGCAGCTAAAGTTCAAGTCCAGAACGTAGTCAGAAAAGTTAGAACCCATATACGTAGCTGATTTGATGGGAATTCCGATGGTCCGATTCCACACATGTACAGCTGCTGAGATGGATACTAGCATGATCAATCACCCAGAAATTAGAGTGACATTAAGTAGTGCTTTTGTCCTATAATTCGGACTGTGACCGAATGTCATGCTAGTCCATCAAGAAAAGTGCAGCGGCCTAAATGACGTGATTTTAGAATATCCAGGCCACGAGGCTGAGTACTGGCAGTAACGGATGAACCTGCCGGTGTCAGGTAAGCTTACGGGTATCTGATCGAACTCAGACCAGGATAACCAGTTTGTTGCCAGGATATTCAGGTGTTGACCAGTTGTGGGCAGGTCTTTGCACATTTTTCGAGGAATCGATTTCCACTCGCAAATTGACTGATCACTGACGAGTCGTGACTGGAGGCAGCATGTGAGAGACGATGGTCAATCCGCAAGGTGGGGAAATAGCGTGTGTAATGATGGGAGTTAGTCATGCGCACTGATGATCCCCAGAACTCAGTCTATTAGTCGACGCTTGTGACAAAACGAAATTATGTTAGAGCGGTGTTCTGATTTTCTGCAGACGACTCACAAGAGGCCAATGGCATTATTGTCGCATTTCCGGGCCGCCTCTGCGCCAAAAGGTCGGGTTGACCGTTGGTATGAAACTTCTTGTCAAGTTGACAATCCAGTTCGAAGGATAACATACCAAGGCGGAGTGATGAGTGATATGTATCAATTGCGTTCAATGATCATTTCAGAAAGTCTGGGAATCATATCATACTAGTAAAAGTTGGGTTGGAGCGCTCCACTTGAAACTCCTGGAAAACATAATTAGCATGGTAGTAGTACACAGTGCACTGCCGGAGAATGGATGGTCTCGAGGAAGTACTCAGGTGCGACGGTCTTTTCTTACCGAATTTCCTACTTTGCATGGGAAATTTTGGTGTCCTGGTAAAAGTAATTTATAACTTGTACGCACTTGCCATCGATTTCGTTCCTACCACCATCATGTAAATAAAAAAAATCATCGCGTCTTGGGCCAAATTGCGGACGTAACTTGAGAATTTTCAAATTGAACCAGTTCAGCTATGCACTGAGTCGGCGAGCATGGACGTTGACTCACACTCCCGCGCTCTTCTTCCCTTTAACAGTTTTCCCGCGGAAAACAACTTATTTGTTGCCCGTCTACCATCGATTTATGTCCTTCTTGTCCTACTCGACAACCGCATTGGCCCGGGCAAGCGTCGCCGCCGAGTCTTCATCCCTATTCTCGAATGTCCATCCCCACGCAGTCATGGACAAGTTCTTCTAGCCACTAGCCTTAATCCATCACTGACAGGTTTTGGACCGGCGGCCGCATCCAGTACCACATCCAAAGGTTGCCAAACTCACCAAAGTGCCTCTAGAGTACGTGTGTCGAGACGGGTTCATGGCATCTAATTCTGAATAAGCACCCTGCATAATCTAGTTTCATCACCTTTTCGATGGCATTTCCATCGTGATAGCCTTCATCTTTCCTCCATTTTCGACTCGCAGAGTTCTATTTATCAGTCATGTCGCTTGCCATCCAATCCTCTGAAAGAGAATTAGTTCCACTTCACCACTAATGTTGGCTTTTCAGCTGCAAATATTTAGTTATCTTAACATGTGCTCATCTTTTATGGACAGGTGTCGCCGACATAGGTCAGTCCGAGTGTCATCAAACGTGATAAGCCTTGCTAGATCCGAACCATAACATTTATATCGTGTCACGAGCGTTCACGAGATACACGAGCCCTGCAGTGTCTGTGGGTAACGTTACCGGTCATACCTCGCTCCGAATTCGAAGGCGAGTAAACCCCTGAAGTGAATACTGAATACTGATCGGTGGCACTTACCGAGCGCTTCAACCCTTCCACCCCGGTACTTTATTATTAGCGGGACCCTGGATGCGCAGCAAGGGCTAAATTTGAACGAAACGTCAAGATTTTCGTTAGCCCCAGGCTCCTCCGATTTCCTGCTCCCATTCTCATGCCACCTCTTCCTGCACGAATTAGCTAACTCTGCCATTTGTTCTTTCAATACCTTTGTTGAAATACGGGGATATGCCTAGTACATACAGCTTTACAACAGAAGTTTGATCGTTATATTTACCTGCCAATGTAAGTAGCCAGATTGATTATGGCGGAGCCATAATGGCCAAAACGCGTGTTTGTAAACGCTTTGCATCCTCTCACGTCAATTTAGCTTATGCCCACTTTGTCGACAACAAGGTGCGAACGTTGGCAATATTCTGCAACTCTACATCAGATAAGACACGTCCTCTCCTTAATGGTGACATTTTCAGGGAGATGGAGGATCGGCTCCTCTCGCTACTACATAGAATGTTCCTAATGGTACATCCATTGTAGCGGCATCTTTCTGAACTGGATTGTTGTTCATGCGTTCAATTAGCAATTGCACTAGTTCCTGCTAAATCATGTTTCAGCCGCATGAAAATGGTTAGGTTGGACTGGTGTTCCTGATGCGCGCGCTTTCGACAGACACGGATCAAAGTTCCTGTATCCTGTGGTGACTACATTTTGAGGCTCCTGATAGGGCATCCTCCGAGGCACCTCGACCCATAACGGCACACAATCAACTTGGACAGCGGCTATATCATGATCTTATCTTTGGGGGTACAACGAGAGTAAAACGCGGACTTCTTGAGGTGAGCATCAGTGAATCAAAACGTTGCCTCGGGGTACCGACTGGTACTGGCCCTTACTGGCTAGAAAATAGTGCGAGCCGTGACGTGGGAGGTCATGCGTCAACCCCATGGGCATCTACAAAAAGCTGGAAGACCTGTTCTCGCCTAAAACAGAATGAACTGTCAGTCGCACATCGTATGGAGTGCGATTTTGTGCCGGCAACTTTGGAGCTTGTCTTGATGATTACTTATGTGATATCGCGGAGTCGTTGGGTCTTTAGAAATGTCAAAAGTCATGGCAAATACCGTGCAAGCATTTGACTGGCGACTAAGATGAGTCCAAGGGACCACTGGGACGACACAGCTCCGCATCATTTACCCCAGTGATCGGAAGTTCCAGGTGACATGCATTTCGTGATTGTTCTCCACAGGCAAAAAAGGCTCATATTAGGGATGATGATCAGGGATGATCACGAGAAGATGATCCTCTAAGCTGACAGCTAGTCACCACGCTAGCTTGTTTGAGGTATTCAGAAGCATGCACCTCATGAACTGACTCCGATTGAGGTCCAATGCCATATTCGGTGAACCGATCATGAGGAATGGTCAGGTGGCATACGGGTAGTACAGAACACTTGGACTTGGCTGAAGAGCCAGTCACATCATGTTCTTTGCAAGCCTCTGCAGATGAGAATATATGCATTCCTGTTAGCAAGCGAACTACGAGAAAGCCCAAAATAGCTTCGAAGAGGATAACAAGAGGGGGGAAAGCGGCGAGTGGTTAAGGAACCGAGAACGTTGGTGAAGTCGCGGCACGTGGGGAATTAGGACATCTGTCAGACTGAAGTGGATATTGTTGGTAGTTGTTAGTTACTTCGGAAGACCAAAGCCTCCTTGCCGAACCTTGTTGAGAGCATCGAGTAGACGTAGCGGGACACAGCGAGGATGATAGCGTATTCGGATATGATTCTGTGTGAGATTTTCGATGATGGCTCGAGACGGTAGCAGAGGTGCAAAATAATACTATACATGAATTCATGTAGAACTCATATCCGAAAGTTAGGCTAATGACATAGCCGAAAAGCAGACACTTGACGACCTGATACACGTTTGAGGGCTGATTCCATCGCACTCGAACAGCAGCACGCGATAGCCTGTGGGCACAGCAGGGACCCTGAATATGAATTATGTCAGCCACTGTTCAGGGTGTGATGACGATGTTGGCAAGATTTAAACCTTCAAATGTCGTGTCAGGTCAAAGTTGTGATAAAGATAGTGGAAGCGTTATTGTCGCGGAGTTGAGCGAAATAACCACATTACCCGGATCAAATTACGTAATTTAATTAACAGCCACACAAAGAAAAGAAAAAAAATAAAGCTTGACCAAATCCACGCCAAATACATAGCATACAACTTCGTCCACTAGCCCTTTTAAAAAGTCCATCTTCCACCATGCTGTTTTCCTGCTAACATCCTCTTGGCGACCTTTGTCGAGTTCAAGCTTGTTCTTGACTTTGTATCATTTGTCTCTTGACATGCATACCCCCTCATCATCGACATCTCAACCTCGTCCCATTCTAAAGCATCAGCAAACAACTCCGAACTATGGTCGTGCCATTAGGTCTTCAGAACAGCTTCATGCCGTTCACTTCCCGCCATCCCCGGCCTTGACTCGAACCTATTCGGCATACCCCCCTTCTACCTATGACCGCTCTCCCATTGTTGTGGCACCGAATACATGTGCTCTACCTGAGCGCGGGTGCCCTGGACGTACTTATACCCTGGACGAGGACCGTCCAGCGAGCTCGTCGCCTACTTCAAAACGTTCACAACACGGCATTCATCTTCATCCTCGTGCCGTATTTAATCATCAATCTCAAGTTTCGCCCTCAAAACTGGGCGGCATTGATGATGGGTCGCAATCCACTCCTTGGTGCAGCTCCCCAACACAACCTGCTTTGATTCCTGACCTCTCCTCGGGGTCGGACGAGAGCGATGGTTATCCCTCAGATTCACTTAACGCTTCTTTAAAACCTGCTCCGTCAATACCATGGCCCCCCCGTGCTCTAGGGGATCCCAATGGTTATATAACGACACCGTCATACAATCAATACGATTATCCTAATCATAGCCCCAACGTTCACTCGACTCCACCATTCCTCCCTTATCCTCCTTCTCACGATGCGAATAAAGTCCGCCATCAGAGACAGAAGGACCGTCCATGGGAGCGGGAGCGAGGAAGCAAATATGGAGCATATGCCGTGGACGATGAACCACGCGACAAACCCAGTTACAGGTCCTATGTGCCATATGGAGGTATTTCATTATCCGTTCTTGACGGATCGGATGATAGTTGTTTGGGAGGATTTTGAGGATGAGTTACTGAGGGATTATGCAGTGAGGCGTTTGTTTGGAGATGCATGACGACACTACGACTTCCGCGATTTGTATACCGCCTGTTACCCGTAATAATGGCGCTTAGATTTTGTTGTACCGTGTACTCAAGTATTCAGATTGTTATCTATTGCAGGAGCAGTAAGGACTGAAATTTGAAATGTGTAACGGCAAGTTTGCTGCTCTCTGATTTCACCACATCCAATCCAAGCCTTCCCATGGGTCGGATACGATCCTGAACTCGATAATTTCTTCCAAGCCCGTCCATGACATACACACCTGCTTCTGACAGGTTCGGGATGGAAAAATTAACATCATGTATTACACGATAATGTCCGCCACAAGACTTGCTTGGCAATTCTCGTTCTGTCGTCCAGCATCCATGCTCTTTGTAGCGATTGTTACCCACGGGAGATAACTTGCCGCGTAGGTGGCTGCATCGTGGCTGGCTATCTCATACCCACCGTCGGATCTTCGCGTACGATCACATAACCCACATCCCAAGTAAGGTTAGGACTAGCTTGAGGAATCCTTCAGTCGGAGCATGTGCTGTTACAGCAATACCCTTCTCTTTGCAATAAGTTAACATCTCATTCTGCATAAGATAAGGATGCATCCTGATGCCAAGGTAAAGTTCCTTCTCCCGATAGGTCATGTTTACGCCACGCTCACTCGACTTCGAGCATGGCCGGCATTATTTTAGCAGCCTTGGATAATGCTTCCACTGCGAACCTCGTTTAGAGAACAGCCTTCACCCACACAAAGAGACGTACGTCTTGATGGAGAAATTGCTGAGTCCGATCGCTTTAACCTTCCCACTGGCCCAGTATCGTTGATGTTGCCTATTTCATCCAGTTTAATCTGACGCATCCGAGTCAGGGTTTGCGGCCTAGACTCTGCATGCGTACGTGCATCACTCGGTAAAGATCATTTTTTGAATACGGCATTTCTTACCATCATATGCCATACTGTGAGGCCAATGTACCAGGTACTATGTACAGCGGTACCATCAGAAGGCATGATTGTCTTGGCAATGAGCCAAAGTTCACGTACAAGATCAAATTAGTCCAGCCCTGCGTTCTTCAAGCTCTGATTGATGAACCATCGCACGCACTTGGCGTGGTTCCAGTCGATAGAAAGTAGAACACTCCAGACACGGTGATGGGAATCGGGGGAAACAGACTTACGGAAGTTTCGTGGTAATGAAGAGTCCTTCACGGGGAATCCCAGAGTGTCTTTCCAACAGGTTTCTCTGTTCCGTACTATGTCCATGCTGTGTTAATGTGTTTGTAACCCGCTTGCAATTGAGCTGGTGAGTATTCAGGATGAGTCGCAACAGGATCTCTGCTAACAAATACTCCGAAACTTCTCCGACAAGAACTGAGCTGTATACCCACAATGGGAACTTTGGCCCCTGTATTCAAGGTTAATGTTCTCGTTACCCATTCAGACACGTTGAGGCGGGTGCAAGCTAACAGACCCCAATGCTGACTGGGCTTCACAAATATTCGGAGTCATAAGATGCTCAAGGTGTCCCACAGCGAATAGTACACGGGTCCGAGCGTCCCGGCAGGACCAGGCTTTGAGATTGTCCGCGGGGCTTGTTCAACAGATGACAACTATGACACTTACAGCAGGGAAAAACAAGAACTATCACCTCGGATAAAATCCAAGTCGTTTCAGCGTGATCCCAAATCCACCCTAAAATTTTGCTTCTATCCGAAACACTCCTTCTCCTTGCCGTCCTAAGCGATCGAAAATCCACCCAAGCACCTTTCCCTTCTTATCAGCCTGTATACGTAGCTTTCTATTCTTGTCCGACGCATCAAGCCATCTTGCATCCTCTTCATGTATGTAGCTCGATCACCTCTTAATGCGCTATTAGAGAGGGAAGCTGGGACCTCCCATTTCTAAACTTACATTCAGATTCCCTTCTTGCCCACTGGCGTTCTCACTTTCCGCAACAAGGCTTGTCCTGCGTCTGATGTGCCGTGATAGGACAACTAGAGTAATGTTATACTTTTGCTAGCGCCACAACGACCAGATCTTGGCGCATAACGGCATAACCTACACATTGTGATATTGTCACTGATGGATACAATATGAATTTTCCGACTCACCAATGGCAGCGCAGGCGACAACCGTGATACCCTTATCCTTGCACCGCTGCAAAGTTCATTCTGAGCCGGATATAGATGTAATCTGCGCCTCGGGGTCAGCTTCATTGTCATCAACCGCAGTTCTCGGGTAAATACGCAGCACTCACTGCAAAACACCAGGCGTGGCTTTGGTCTTCAAAAGTTATTACAACCTGCCATACGAGAACAATCATGGAGTCAGTCGTTCCAATTCAGGACAGAATTTCAGAATTCAGACATATGTTTGTATCGAGAACTTGAAGTCGCTGGCGCCTAGTCTAGCTAGCGCCAATCGATTTGACTTTACCGCTGGCAAGAACTTTTTCCATCTCCTCCCAGGCCAAGTATCATCAAAGTCACACGTTTCATCAAGCATCACTGACCTATTCACGTTCAAGAAGACGGGGTGATTATATGTGGAGAACCATCAGCGCTGATCGAACACATGATAATTTTGGAAACTCACTTTCGTTAAGGCGCAATTTGAGACCAGCGAACGAGACGCTGTATTGAGGGACACAGTTGTCCACGGGAAAAACCGAGAGTTCGGCCTACCAGATCGTTGAGTCTAGCACGTCTTAGGCTTTGTCCAGGGACCCACGTATGTGTGTAATGTGATGGCAACTACCAAATTGACAAGACCGCCGTTCATCTCAGTCCACCAAGAGCGCCAGATAACAAAAGTGACCCACGGAAGCTTCGTGGTAATCGGTGGAGGTCTTTCCTGGATACTACATTTCCCACCGGCCTCATCAACAGCGCCGTCAGTGCCTGCATCATCGCATGGATTGAAACTTTGAGTTGGCTCGAACTATACGTTTCAAGCATACCGTACAATATTTGGTGTTGTGTCGATATGTCTGTACCCTGTTTCAAGCGCAGTCAACGACCAAGAAGACGCTAATGCTAGCTCTTTGGGGGCAGTCCCTACCCTACCATCACAATGATCCAAGTACTAGAATATCAGTTCAAATATAATCACATCACATTAAGTGTATCCACGCACCAATGCATGGCATATCGTACTTGCCCCGTTATTAAACTGCGGTGACTTTATTAAATCAAGATCACTCCAAGCAATTTGGAGACTATGACGAATCATGTGTGTTGTTGGGAAGTATGGAAAGGTATAAACGTGGCAGTTCAATTTGCCACGCTTAGTACATATGGCGTAACAGGCTCCGAAGACCGACGTTTGATCAAGCTTCAAGGTCAACGTTGCGCTCACGAGTCACTACAGTGCTTACCAGATGCCTGAGGCTGCTTACGTGAGGTGGAGACCACGCGCAGGAATGATGGTACATATTTTAAATGCAAGTAGTTCTGGGGTGCATGGGAGAGTAACAAGTCAAAATGCAAAGCACTCATCAAACGCAATGTGGTATCAATATTAATGGCTGCGGCGATAAAGAGGCACAGAAATGCCAAGATCGTGAGCGCTGTTCCTCCAAACACGCAATAGAGAGAAGGCGACCACTATGCGGAGTCCAAAGACACGAACACGTGATCTTTTTCTTTCTCACTGATAGAAGACGATTCGGCTTGAACTTTCTCCAAACCGAGCCGAGCTTTGGTTTCTGCATCAAGGTTGGACGTAGGTCCATGATAATGTCGATGCGCGCTGGATGGTCGTGATTGTGAGATTGTTGAACGTACACCGCTGAATCATCAACCCACCTGAGAACATACCACACCCTAGCCCGACGACATGCGACAATTAGTTGATCTGGACTTGAAACAGAACTAATTCATACTCACCCGCTGAGAAAAATGACTCCGACGGCGATCGCGGACGCGTAATTCATGTTAAACTTCGTGACAGGGAACACTGTGGGCAGCGAGAAAATGACGCAGACGAAAAGCGTCCAGCTTATGCAAGTAACATTTGCTGCCAAGCCAAGGATACCTGGTCCCATGTAAAACGGTCCTGGGCGAAAATTCACGTCCGGGTGATTTGCGTAGATGCGACGCCTAAAAGTTTGCCTTTGGTCAATCAAACGATAAGAACGACGAAACCTTCTCTCACAAGAATATCGGGATAATGTAACTCAAATCAAGTGCAATAGCGGTAAGCGCAAAGATGGCATTCGCGGCAATTGGGGAGGCTAGATCGAGGAAACCTGGAAGGATGGACAAGATAGTAGTAAACCAGATAGCACGCAGTGGCGTTCTGGTGGAAGACGCTATATGACCGAAGTATCCGTTGTCGGGCAGACCTGAGGATCTGGTCAGAATATGAAATATTCCTTGAACACTGTTGCTTGCCATGATCACGGCTGAAAGCGTAAACGGTACGAGAGCATGCATGCAGTGCCGTTTGTGCAACAAAAAATGCTGTGAGGCATACAAAGCTCTTATTACACAATCAGCCTGATCCAATACATATATAAAGAGGATAGCTACCCAAAGGAATAGCGCTGCAGGTGTGCCCATGCGCAGAACCATGATCTGCGACGTAGTGAGCTCATTCGTTTACAACTCCATAACTCGTGCCATACCTGCAAGAATGCAGATCCAGATATTCCTGGCAGATTTTCTCTGGTTGTATTCATGAGAGGTAGCGGGTATAGATGATGTGTAGAACAACTTACATTGGACCTGAACACAGCATGAGGACGATATTCAATAGCCATCCCAATATCCCAGTCCCAATGACTGTATTTCTGTTTTTTATCCTATTACAAATTATATAAAGACCAAAGCTTACCAGCAATGAATATCGCAGCAGGTGCTAGAAAACAAGATATGAGGACTTCATATTAGATGCTATGCAATGATCCGACGTACCTGCGTATGCAGCACGACGAACTTCTTCGCTGAGATTGAAGATGCATTAACTGGGCACTGAACGTTCATGAAAGGTACATACGAAATGTGAGCGGTCGCATCGTAATCCTGTCACACCATTTAGGTTCTATAACGACTTTTGAAAACTGTCTAATCTTACCGTCATCTAATTGTATTTGAAGGTAAGTCAACGTTATGACTGATTGTCTTGTCACGTACCGTCCATTGTACGCTCAATAAACCCAATAAAAAAGCGATGCCGTTATTCCAACCCCCGGTTTGATTCACAATTCCTTGACTTCCAAACACGTAGGTCGCTGACTGCATCTCTGAACGAGGCGTGGTCGCTAGCAAAACAATGATGATAACAACAGTTGCACCGAGGTTCACGAACACGAAGCCTCTGGTAGCGAAGGCCAGGTACCGTGTCGCCAACGAATTCAAAAGTCCATGGACAATAAGAAGGCCAGCGAACAAACCAACCGTCTTCCCTTGTGTCAACTGAAATGATGGGGAAGATATTGACACTGCAGCCCATATCATATTTGCGAGTCCGAACTCCGTTGACGACTACTCCCGCGACCTGACCAAGGATGTTCAACCAACCAACGATCCAGCCTACGATAGCGCGATGGGACTTGGGACAAAGTTGAGCTGACGCCGTATATAGCCCTCCGCATGTAGGAAATGCAGAGACTATCTCTGCGATACTGGAACCAAGCGTGAAGCACATGCATGACCCAAGTAACCAGCACCAAGTAACCTAGAATTGAGGTTCTTTCAATGCCTTGAGAAGTAATGAGTTATGACATACGGAAGCAGGGCCTCCAAGTAACAGTGGAGTGTTGAGAGTCGTCGCGACACTCGAACACAATCCCTGTAATTTAAATCTGAAATAAAATTTGGATTGCCATAGAATGGACAGAACACACCATGATACTGAAAGCAAAGCTGATGGTGGCTAGATTCGAAAACTCGCGCCGAAAGGAAGGTTTATATCCAAGGGCTTCCAGGCGGTGATCATCGTCATATACATCAGTTGTACCGGACATATTTGGAGCGCGTAGATGTGGAAGGAGACAACGTGAAGAATGAACGAATGAATGAGCCGTTGCTCAAGCGCTCATGGACCCATAATGCACACAGATGACAATACCGTACCCAGCCTTGGCCTGTCATCCGATAAGGTAAAATTTGATTATCATAATATAGGCCATGTGCTTGCAAAATCAAAATCTCCGGTACGACGGCCATGTAAAATTCAGTTGAAGCGATAGTGGAGTAGGTAGTACTAGTGTGGCAACTTATTTAAAGAGCATGTGGATACTGGCACTGCTTGACTAAGACTAACCATGGCTACACTAGTTGAACAGCCTTGTCAGACAGAACGAGGTCGCGCGAGTCGCAGCTCAGCTGAATGTTACAGAAGTTCGGATATGATTTTATCATAAAAGTTTCTCCTCATCAGTGGTGTAACTCACTATCTTGCGCAAGTGGAGTTCCACGATGTAAGATATCAATAATATCATGATGTAAAAATGAGATATATTACGGGGTCCGGCTCGTGTGACCTTGAGATAGGAATTTCCATAGGAGCTTTCGTATACTTGGGGAACGGTCGCTACACACGTACCGTCATGTGAGCAGTCAACCGTGAAGTGAAGTCGTCGAGGAAGAATACGTAGATGTGGTACTAGTGTCGGTCAGAGAAGTGGTCGGGGTTTCGGTTGTGGACGTGGTACTAGTGTCAGTCAGGGAGGTGGTAGGGGTTTCGCTTGTAGATGTGGTACTAGTGTCGGTCAGAGAAGTAGTAGGGGTTTCGCTTGTAGATGTAATGCTGGTTTCGGATGTAGATAGGGTGGAGGTAGTGGTGTTTGTGTCAGCAGCATAGCCCGACTGTGTGTAAATAGGCGTGGACAAATAAGCCCGAGGAACCGGCGTAGGCGTCCATATGGAGCTCGTGGATAGTGCCCGTCCGCTAACGCCATCATTGAACCACCATGATCCGTAAAGAACGCCACCACTTTCAGGAGCGAAATGATCGAAAAGACTCGTAGAGAAGTCAAGCCCGCCGTACGGGCACCCCATACACTGGACAAGAATGCATCAATAAAAACGAGAATAGCACGTCTCGAGCTCACTTTGTCGATAATGGTGGCCTGGGCGGTTTTGCCCCCATACAAAATGGTAATGGTCTTGAAGCATTGCGGACCCGGATAACCTTCCCCATATTGAGCGGTGTTGAGGGCGGCGACCTTGTCATAAAGGTGAGTGTCGAAAACACTATACCAAGTAATCACCATGGCCGAGACGTACGAAATCGTCGGGAGAGCTGTGCTGCCCACAAGCACCCCTTGGATCCAAATTAGCTACATAGCTCAACAAGCGATTCTTCAGTTTAAGTCCACTCACAAGCCAACATCATAAAAGGTGAAACGTGCGTTGTCGAAAGAGCGTTTGTGGATGCCCACGTCGCCTCGCGCACGCTGGACTAATTCTTGATGGCGTCCACGTTGGTTATGACTATGGGTGCCGCCAAAGGTGAAAGGAAGGATCGCAGAAACAAGGATGATGACCGAGGACACAAGCATCAGGAATTATAGACCGACTCGGGAAGACCGTAAGGTGGCTAGAATTGTTATTTTGGGAGTATAGCTAAGGAGCGTATGAACAAAGGAGCGACTGGCGGTATAGTTTGAGGGTATAAAGTTGTGGAAGTGACACAACGACGGGGAAAGAATAATTAGAAGGAGAAGGAAAGTGAAACGAGCTTCAATTAACCAAAAAAGTTGAAATGGCTTTGGTCATGGCTACGTATTATACCCTACAATGACACCCTTTGGTCTGCTCTTCGACGATATATTTTAGTTATAGTAGCAGCTCAGGAAATACAATATAAGCATAGTTTTGTCCTTCGTTTGTCTCAGAAGATAGATATAGCGAGTAGCTTCGCGTTTTTACCATCGACGATGCCGTGTACAATTGACCATGAGCAAAGAGATCCGTTCACAGGTCGAGCACGAGGAGTGCTAGCATCAATCCTTGAATGCAGTTAGAAACTTTTTGGATTCACTGCTGCACCTGCTGATGACCGTCGGAAAAGCACGAGCACCATCAGGAAGAGGTTGTATACAGCTCTGTTCGGATAGAACGAAACCGAAAGAAGTCACATTACAGGATGTCCGCACATCCAATAAATAGATTCCGTCTTCGGCAAAAGTACTTGGTAGTCGTGAGCCGGTTTTGTCGACTTGAACCAACTCGGAATTGAGAGTGGTTATCGCCATAGGCAGAGTGCGATAGTAATAAGCGCAACTCATTCAATTGAAGGGACTCTCGGAGTGCCTAGTCTGATTGTCGAGCTGAATCACTGCGGCTGCCAGTGGGCTCCAGTACTAGTCCAGTAATCGAGTCCAATGAACTTTGGCAGTTGTCATTGAAAGTTGAACCTGAAATTGATTCGCTGGCAAAACTTCCACTATTCTTCGAATATTGAACAGCGAGGAATATTGAATCACCGTGCTACACGGCTGGAGCCCAAGCATGTATTGCAAAATGATTGCAAATGCCGTGCGGCAGGCGGCTCACCGTATGCACAATGAGAGATTCGGACATGAGTCAATGTAAAAATCTGCAGTGTCAATCATAATGCGTGGGAAGCCTTACGTGAGCATTCAAGTGTACCTGATTATCCAAAGATTCCCGTCGTCCTGAACACCTTCCTTGAAGTTGTCCTCCAGGAGACTTAGAAATCCTTCAAGCTGCACCCTGACTATTCCCAGGGAGCGGGGAATGAGTAATTCAATGCTCGCCCGGGTAACCACGCTGTCGCTCGAGACCATGGGATGATCGGTGATACTGCCGCAGTCCGCAATCGCCGCAGGCAGCAGCCAACAGCTTCACAATTTATAAATCCGACTTCAGCACACCAGTCTGAACCTCATTCGACACGAACCAACGCTCTTGTAACTCATTTGACCCTCTCACACGGAACACCATGACTCTAGTTCTACCGGACGGGTAAGCCCAAGCATGAACATCTGAATCTGCTGTGCACTGATAGTTTACTCAGTTACCAATATGTGGCTGCCTCGTTGCTGTCGGCTTCCTGGGTCATCATATGGCAAATCATACGTATCGGCCCTGCTAGGAGGGCAGCGGGCATTCCTTATCCTCAACGTCAGCCTTCCCTTAACTTTCGCTCGGTTTCTTACTCAACTCGGTCTAGTGTACGCGGAGAACGCTCAACTAAAAGAAAATCCAGCTGCTCTTCGGTATAACTGTGTCCAGCGTATGTCTTTACCTTCGATACCGACCCAATACATTGTATTGATTCAATCTTCGGGATTCAGGTTGCCATCAAAACACTCTCGAGAATATCCCGTTAATTATGATTTCGTGAGCCAATCTACCGTCTGACTTAAGGAACCATTCGACAGACGTGTATTTGCAGCACTCTCATAACTGGACTGAAGTATCCTTACCTCGCTGCTGCGACGAGTTTTTTCTAGGTGCTCGCTCGTATCGCTTACACCATTGGGTACTCCACGGGTGTGCCAGAAAAGGCAAGCTACCCTACAGAAAAACAAAGATTTCACGTTGACATTGAATTACAATAGCGTGCGGCAGGTTCTGCTAGTGGTTCTCTTGCTTTAATGGGCTTATTAGCAGCTGCTACTGTTACCATCGTACAAGTCTGTTTCTTCTAGGGGTTGTGGTACCCTCTGGAAATGCAAGACCAAGCATTACCCCAGTATTTTAATTTCAAAGCATGGCATCGTTGCATCTTCTCGTCCATCTAAATCGGCTCAGCTATTCGAACGTTTCTTCTAAGGAAGTCATCTTTCATCTTTAATCGTAACCTTTATGACGAGCTATCTCCCATGCTGGATTGTGCTCCTTGTGATAGCAAGTTGTTATCGCGTTGATGTCTCTGATATTTCAAAGGATTATATTCGCCGCCTCAGGCAACCAAGCAGCATGTAACTGTCACATGCTGCTTAGTTACCTGAGGCGGCAGTGACAACCTATGGTAGGTCTGTGAAATTGGATTTTTCGAGTCAATTTGAGTTGTTCAAGATATTGAATCACCAGTACACTCCATAACTCCATTCCCGCATTACCTTGTATCATAAAGGTGCAGCACAAGTTGGACGGCTCGGGTCAAATCTAGCAGTAAGTGCATGATGTTAATAGAACAGTGTATCATAGGTTACAGTGTTATGATCAGCATTAATAAATCCAGTTACATAGTACAAGCGAGCACGATCTGCAATCGTGTTAGCCCGCAGACACTCCCTACGCTCAAATCCATCCACGAAAGAAACAATCGAGCACTACGACTTCTCGATTCACCATGGTTCGTTCGGCAACGAATCCACAGAAGGAATCTTTTCCCAAAGTGTGGACATTTCTACCGGATCGATGCTATACAATTGCATCACCTCAATGATTTTATTCAAGGTATTGCGATCCGCGCGTTCCAGCACGGTCAATTGCTCATCATATTCCTGAATCCGAGTAACAACTTCTCCGCTCATCGGGGAGTCGACGTAGGATTGGACCGCGAGCTTGATGGCCCTACGAGTGAGTTCCCGACTTTCTGACACTATAAAAAGTGTCTGTAACACAAGCGTTAAGTGGATGATGTAGGTCATGAAGCGCTGAAGGGCCGCATGTCTAACAAGGCAGTGTTGAGATCCTTTCACATATAAAAAATAATGATGCATACGATATCTGATATACTTCGTAAACCCACACAGCGAGTACGGCGCCCGCTGCGATTGGTACTACAATGGGAGCCGCAGGTCCCGCCAGGGCGGACATGATGCCCGCAATGGTGCCCACCATGGATAATCCAACAACCCTGTAAACATTCAATGAGATAAATATATATCTGTCATGTAGAAGAACAACCTACATGGTTTTGTTGGGATCAGCTGTATTCCCGACTTGTATCTTATCAACGATTTTCATCATCAATTTCCTGAACTCTTGACTGTGCAAGTACTATGCACAAATCACATTAGGGCGGACGCGACGACAGTAAATATGATCACCGTTACATGATGAGGGTCATAGAAGTTCCACACATTGACGATGTCAGTGTGAAGCACATATAGACAATCCCACATCTTGCGGCTCTTGAACGTTGGGCATGACGCAAGCGCTTTCCAATATCCTGCAAAAGATGAAGATTTAGATTGTATTTAGTAATCATGAATGCGAAACTGGGACAGACTTTTTTTTGCCAACACTGACACTACTTAAGTCATGAGATAAGAATGAAGCATGCAAGACTCACTCAATTGATGCCTGTATTTTCAGCCTAGGATGTACTCGCTGAGCGATGGAGGTCATCACCGCCTCGGTTGCAGAGAGCTGATTGATCGCCGTGGCCTCGGATGCGGAGTGCTGACCGACACAGTTTTCAGTTATTTGGATGAGGCAGGGCGAGCGTCTCCTTATACTCTTCTTTGGCTGTGACATTACACTTCAGAAGCACGCATGAACTTGTCAAAGGATTGGTTCACACTAGATATCGTAGCGTGGGGAAAATCAAGCCCTGCAAATTGCTTTAGTGGTCCAATGCAGGTATCCTGCAGCTGGGCGTCTGCCTTCTTCTTGGCGAGTTCCTTGATGGCTTCATCGCTCAATTCATCGAGAGAGTTTTGATATAGAATTCGCTTCATTCGGGCGATGAGCTTGTCGTACTTAGTAAAGACGACGATGACGGGAACTTTGACAAAGTGCGAGCTCTAACTTAGCAGAGATAGTGATCGATTCACTTACCGTTTCCCAGCTGTCCATTGATTTTCGATTTCAGGAATTCCTCCGTTCCCGTTTCTAGCAAACGTGCACCTGCACGGGGAATTTCGAAGCAAAGCCTTCCATGTATTGTCAGTCAACCACAACCATAATTGGATGGCCGAGATAGAATTCCTACCAGATGGCATGCAACTGATGTTCTTGGGAGATGTTCCTCCGACGGTCAATGAAATCTCGGACTATTTTAAGGTTGCCTTCTTCTCCTGATTCGAAACCTCTGCTATCGTGAAGAACAAACCTTTCGTTCCGCAGTGAGATGAGCTCCTTGTCAATGTTGGCTTCGCCAGGCTTATTGTGCGCAACGATCTATTGACGGTATGAGAAGCTGTGCTCGTTGAAGCCGTCGTGTTTAGCTCACCTCTTTTTCCACTCCGAATGCATAGCTGATCAGTGATGACTTGCCAACGCCAGACTATAAAAAGCATGTCCTTAACACTGGTCTGAGATCGGAGAACGCCAGATACCTTGCCTATTACCAGAATTCGGAACCTTGGGAGTATCAACCTCAAGAACGTTTTATGATAGTCCTGACTCACCGAGGACACTTCTGAAATATTTCGGAAGTGGTAGGAGGAAGCTCAAGGTTGTTATCAGAAGAGACAGGCTGCTCAGAGTGCTAATCCACGAGTTAGACGGGCTCAATGCCAGCCGTGGAACCTTACTTTGGATGCATTCCCAGCAAGGTCGACGATGATAGTGAATTTTTTATGCAATACGATGTATTCTACACATGTGAGGTTGAGCTCGTGAGTGGGGAGGTGCGATTATTATCGTTTCACCTTGTCCTTCACTTGCAGACGTGCAGGAACATGTCATCTGGGTTGAAAGGGATGTCTTTATGCTTGATCCTCGTCCATTTCTTGTACTGTATATGTAAGGAAAATATATCCCCACGAGAAAGCACTCTAAAGCCAAAAAAAATTGAAGCGACTGAGGCGAGATGTGTTGTGGTCGAGTACTCACATGGGTGGAGAAAAAGTCTGTCGCAAGCTCTTTCCTGCGGCTTCGCGTTCGATTGGCGAATTAAATTTGCCAATCCGCACTTCAGCAGACTCTATATTCGGTTTGGACCATGTCGGAAAATTCGAAAATCCATTTTAAGCCATCATAATGGATTGAAATAGACAAATTCGGCCGCACTATTTTAATCCTGATGTAATAAGAGAGTCATATTACAATAAAATTATTATTATTATTATAATTCGATTTGTGCTGGCAATAGAAATTTTAATGAATAGCGCGATACCTTTGCACTCCCCGTTTGGAGCTTATTCGAACGTCGCGGAGCTCATTATAATATCTGCTACAATAATCATTAAAATTGCATTTGCAAGTCCCATGAGACTTGTTGCAATACTCCAAATGTGATTGCGAGAAGATTGTAACTTATTCACAACTGGCAGTGTTCATAAATTGTATCATTGGACTGCTACTATCAATACAATATTATTCTATTAGTACTCGAAACAAGCTGTAGTCAAATGTCTAGATCAGCAGTAATATGTTATGAGGTCGCTGTGCAACCAGGATTCAGGGTGAAACCTGTGCCAGTAGTAGTCAATTGAAAATTGAGCCAGCAGCCTGAGGGGCATGTCAAAATATGAAAAAAATGATCGCAAGTAAGGATAAACTCACCAAGACACTGTGAACGGTGGGCAATGACTTTGATCAGCATGGCTCGAGCTCGATGGAGGATCTGTTGGATTTAGATTATTTAGATTTCCTTATCAAGTTTCGACTCGGAACGAGCCAATTGTGGCTTAAACTTTATTTCGCTGTGATTACATACAGTAGCGATATTTTTGTATACCTTACGCGTTTGCAACAAATTCACCGTGCTACCTGCTGCCAAAAATTCTATAGGATCGACATGCTGCAAATGGTGGGAATAACTTGGATCAGCATGGCTGTTGCTCGAATGAGGATCAACACACTCACTCTCTGCGAACAGTGGGCAACGACTTGGATCAGCATGGCTGTTGCTCGAATGAGGATTAACACACTCACTCTCTGCGAATGGTGGGCAATGACTTGGATCAGCATGGCTATTGCTCGAACAAGGATCGACACACTCACATCCTGCAAATGGTGGGCAACGACTTGGATCAGCATGGCTGTTGGTCAAATGAGGATCGACACACTCACATCCTGCGAACAGTGGGCGATGACTTGGATCAGCATGGCTATTGCTCGACCAAGGATCGACAGACTCACTCACTGCGACTCCCCATCCAGAGTCATTGAGTCTACATGCACTGCGAGCAAGCGAGAATGAGTGCCGCCTCTCATTCTTTTGTCACCTTTGGCATCCTGGTGTCGTCTGCAAGTGTTCGTGCCACGTCAGCACTTGCTGGCATGCATTAGGCATTTGCGCATGGTGCTGGTGATGTTGTATTAATATTAAGTGACAGTCTGGTTCAGGCAACAGAGTGAAAAAGCAAACAAGTTATGCAATGCTGATGTAATCGATTGCAATGCGTCTGACTGGACAATGTAATAAGTAGAACATGATACAACAACTAACTAATACATCTTGCGAAGCAATTGAATATCATTTCTTCTGATGGACAGACTTGCGAGAGATTTGATTAGCCACAGCCTTCTTTTTCTTCCATCCTTGAGTATGACCCTCTGCATCTACGGTTTGAGTAACCCCTTCATCAAGCTCTGTGTCACCATCAGTAACAAGCGAGTTCTGAATCTGATTGGTGATTGCAGGAGCAGGCAGTGGCATCGGAGGAGCACTGGAACCATCGGAAGGTAATATTTCAGAAGGCATGGTCTGCGTGGATAACCTTGGAGTTGATAGTGGTGAATTCAGAGCGGACTGGGTGATGTCAGTACCCTGAGCAAGGTCACCCACAGGGGTAGAATCCAAATCATGGTCAACATCGTTAGATTGCAAGCCAGCCATTGCAAGCGCAATCTGTGCAGTAAAGTCTTCCCCATCGGGTGCATCAATGGGCAGCTTCGCAGCTCCAAAGACATGTCCCTCAATGTGTTGTCTAATCTTCATGAGATATGGAGCATCCCAACAACACACCAGAATCTTCTTGAAGCTGTAGAATAGATTTTTATACTGAATCCCTGAGCTTTTGCCATGGCCGTCTTGAGAGAATACTGTATCTGGCGATAAAAGAAAAATAGCCTGGGATAAAGAGTACTTAGCAATGACAGGAGTGATAAAATAAACCACTTACAATTGTAGCACTCCACGCAATTGCTCCAGGCATTATGGCAGATACTCCCCAATTCTGAAAGTCCCTGGGTGGCCCACCCTTCTTGACAGACATAAGGGATGCTTCGCCCATTAAAAATGCTTTCAGGATCTGTTCAAAAGACATAGTTTTTGTCAATAAGCTGTATACAAACGAGGAAATGGCAACATACCTGAGCCAAGGGCTTCCAGTTACTGAATACAGTTGAATTGCTAGTATCGATGATGGCATTTGGAAAGAGAATGGGAAGAAATAGTGGGTAGGTACAGGCTTCTGGGTGTAGTGCCTAGCAACCTACAAAGCTCGTCGATGGTGTCTTGCTTTGAAGACGTGACGAAGTAATCAGAGCTTAGCCCAAAAATGCGACCAGCAACTCGTCGCAACTTGATGAGTTTGGAAGACTGACCTGCTTCAAGTGCTTGTTGTAGCTGGACAATGTAGATTAGTAAATATTGAAGTCAATCAATGATATACATACGTGCAGTCTTATGGAAATGATTTAAGGGCACAAGATGGTGCAGGTGATCTGGGAGCACACTATGTAGCTTGGACAATAATGTGTCTGCTTCTGCAGCTGAGTTTGCATAGCGAGCCTGGTCGGTCAAACAGCAAACCAGGAGTTGAGGGAAGAGTCTTCTTTAGTAGCTCGGCGCTGGGTGGGTACATCTCGTACATGATGCCATACTTCTTAGTGAACATCTTCACTTCCTTGTCAAACACTAGAAGCTGGGAGGGTGCCTTGGAGGCTTTGCGAGAAGGTTTGTTCACCTCCAAGATTGCATTCTTTTCTTCCAAGAGTTGATTGCACTGCTTGATGGCTTGCAATTGAAGTTGAGTGTCCTTCAAAGTCTATTGAAAAGATCTGAATGAGTCGCTCAAAAATGACAGCTGTACCAATATATCTAACTCACTGTACTAATGTGAGATCCGTCATGAGCAGATGTACAATGACTCGTTGTACCTGCTGCAGGGTGAGGATTAGAAATAGAAGGATCAGAAACATGATGTTGCGATGCTGCAATTTCAGAGTCTGAATCATCGGACCGATGACTATATGCCACATTCATCTTGAATAAGAGGACACTGATGGAATTTCGACTGTAATGTTGATGTGGATCAAGCTGAGGGAAGACGCAGAGGAATGGTCGACAGAGGATTGAATTGTGTGAGGGTCAATATATTGCGATCCAAACTCTGAAGCGGCCAGGACTTACTCAAGTGCTTGATTACATGGGTCATGAGGCAAGTGTGATGGTAATTGACCAATCACCTTGCAGTTGCCAGCAGTTGACTTGACGTGGACTATGTAATATAACAAGCAGATTGGTCACCTTCGGACAAGCACAGGTGGAGCACAGACAGGTGAATTGGTTCCGTGGGATCAAATTTTTCGTCCTAGACCTAATATAATCATGAACAGAGCGCTCTTGAGCTTCTCCAACACACCTGGTACTATCAGAAGTAGGTAAGCAAGCTTTCCAGTCCATGATCATAAATACAGTACTCACCAGATGGTCACCCATAATCATGAACAGAACACTTATGAGCTTCTCCAATGCACCTGGTACTATCAGAAGTAGGTAAGTAAGCTTGTCAGCCCATAATCATAAACAGAGTACTCACCAGACGGTTACCCATAATCATGAATGGAGCACTTATGAGCTTCTCCAATGCACCTGGTACTATTAGAAGTAGGTAAGTAAGCTTTTCAGTCCATAATCATGAATAGAGCACTCACCAGACTGTTGCCCATAATCATGAATGGAGTGCTCATGAGCTTCTCCAATGCACCTGGTACTATAAGAAGCAGGTAAGTGAGCTTTCTAGTCCATAATCATGAATGGAGTGCTTATGAGCTTCTCTAATGCACCTGGTACTACAAGAAGCAGGTGAGTGAGCTTTCCAGTCCATAATCGTGAATAGAGTAAAACTCACCAGACAGTTACCCATACTCATGAATGGAGCACTCACCTGATAGTTTAATTGCTCATCAGCGTCTGAATCTTTAGCACACCTGGTATGTTAGGAAGCAGGAGGTCTTACTAGAACTAACCATAACCTTGCAATGCGAGATCATGCACATGAATTGTCAAGTATATGATGACATAAGAGAGTGATTAAGATAACACTGGCGTAATTAGTATACATGGGAGTCTTTGTGAAGTTTCATGCAAAGGAACATATCAGTGTTGATTGAATCGACAACAAGGAAGTCACCAGGCTGAGAGCGATCCTCAAGCAACAGTGCCCCCCTGATAATTGATTCAGTGAAAATAAACTCACTCTTATGCTGAGGTTGAACTCTAACTTGCCATAAACCCAGGAGCCTGTCCTTCAAAGGTTGATTTTGAATGGGGGCATCACAAGATTGAATAAGAGCCATGGGGTGACTTGTGCCTTCAACTAAGCACGTGAATATGAATATCAAGCGACCAAAGATCATCCCATCTTGAGTCCTGATGATGACAGAGTCATATCTTGGGGCATTGTGAAACATCGGGGAATAGCGGAGGTAGTCTGTCGATGTCCGAAAATCAACCATCGACTCGAAGTTTGCTTTCAAGTACCGGAATTCTGTTACCTGCATGTGTGGCACAAATCAAAGTATTAGCGCTGTAGCTGGCTTATCAATATGAACAAAAATCTCACTATATTGGCACTCAATTCAAGTGCAACATGTCCATTTCGTGCAATGACAGGTATCATGTTAAGAAAGCAGTTAAGTTTGGTATGAAACTGATGAAATGCTGGGTCTTCAAGGTGTGCTTGCTGAATGGCATGTATCGACGATGCACGCTGACATGAACCAAGCTTGATATGAAAGCTGGACTCTGATCCAGGCGCGTTCAGAACTTCGTCATCGGAATCTGAATCATCAAGATCACTCGCTTCTTTCCTTGCATTATAGGCATCAAGGTTGTTGATGCGATAGTGAATCCATGCAGATACAAGGCTCCAATGGTCCGCACGTAAGATCTATTAGTATTCACAGTAATCAATGCAAGTTCAGACGCAGTAGAAGATGCCCGACCTGGTCTGCTACTTGTTTGAAATTTGTTCAGAGCTGGTAAGATTTTTCAAAGGTCTATGCGCTTTCTCATTTGGTTTGGTATTGAAATTCCGAGTAATGCCTTTGGCCTTGATATCATCAAAAAGGTGAACACCCAAGTGATATTTCGGAAAATCCCAACTCTTTGATTCACATTCAGACTCGGAAATATATTTCTATGGAGGATCCATCAGCTGTTTGATTCAGACAGCGCTAGCATGTCAGTGAAGCACAACTTACATCCATGAGTCTTGAAAACTCGTCAAGAGCGGCTCGACCAGCAGCAAGGGTCTGTGTGGTATGAACCTCAAGAGCTGTGAACATGTCTACATCTAAATGGGCTTGAATACATTGAAGGAGCAGATATCCAGACTTGTGTGTTTCGGGATTGAGTACGTCATGGGCAACAAACAGAATCAACTACATGTAAAGGGACATCAATTAGAATTGAGATCTCAAGAGTGTCCGAGTCGATCACCTTTAATATGTCTTCTTGCTTTGTCCCATCAGCGAAGCTAACTCCCATGACCTCCTTGAAGTGGTTGAGATTCCTCCACCTTGGCACTGCCACAAACCTGAGGAATGCTTATAATAGATGTCTACGATGAAACAAAAAAAAAACAGACCCTTCATCAATTTTAGTCGCAGGGTGTCTACCAACTTCATTGACACATTTTTGCAGCTTGATCCACAAGTGTTTTCCCCACAGTCCTTCATGGTGAGTATGTAGGCGGTCAAAACAAAGGGCATGAAAGATGTCCAGAAGCTTTGATAGATTGAGAGAGTTCTGTTGAGTTATGCTGTGAACTTGATTCCAGAAATATGGGATTCAAATAATATTTACTTCGACATCTCTCAATGACTGAGACTTCAGCTTCTTCTCTTGCTTTGCCTTGGTGTACTTCCTTCTTGCCTTCCTGAGCAAGCAAACAGAATTGTGATGTGTGCGAAGTGGCCAGGTCTCCAACAGGTTATGTAACTCAGTGAACGGAACCAAACAAATTGGACATGGAAATTTGCCCATGACTCCATGGATCAGGGACATAATGCATCTGCAGACATTACATGTTAGCAACGATGATAGATGACACTCCAGACTGTACACACTGTTCCTCGTAGTCCACAGACAAGATCGGAATGATAGGGAACATAAGGCATTGAAGTTCATCCCAACACTCCACCCATCCACCACATTTCCTCTTCTATCTAAGACACTTGAGTATTTGCTTGAAGGACTTGTGCCAAACTGCAGCTTTTGAAATCCGCAAATTTCTGTTTTCCCGACCTTGAGGGATCATCTTTGACCTTAAAAAAATCAATGTTAGTTAAACAAAAATGAGATGAGATAGAATCACAATACAATGGGGAGCCAGGTGACAACTCGACTGCCACCAATGCCTTCACCATTTTGGATGGATGCGGGGAGGTTTGCAATACGGGCAATCACAGGGTAGCCTTTTTCACGACCAAAGGAAGACAACTTTGTCTTATCTGCATAGAGGATGAATGTGAGAGGCTTTGCATGGCTAGGTATAGCCAACTGAATGTATTACACTGAGTCGCTTCAGCTAATGGTGCACTGCTCAACACATACCTGAGCCTCCCAAAAAGTATCCACAGTCCAAGGCTCATCAATAAATCTCACAAATGTATTACCGTCAAACTTTGACAGGTGTTGAGCGTCAAAGGTAAATTGAGGGCCAAGATAAGGATCGCGAAGAAGGTCGCACACCCAGTCCCATAAGTCCCAGTAGTAGAGAGTGAATTCTTGATCAACTCCATCGTAAGGCACTCGAATTGTTTGCTTTTGAAACTATCAAAACACACTTGTCAGACAAGTTAAAATGAAAAATAGAGATGACCTTACTGGTGTTAGATGATGGGAAATAGCACTCTACATGTTCTGAATATCTTTGTAGTTGCACAGGCTGAAAGGTTCCTGCTTCGAGCAATGCAAAAGGTCGATTAGCCGCTTAATTCGAGGCTGGCTGAGAGTGGCTTCATGAGCAAGTTCAGCTACCTCAAAGTCCAGCTGACATTGAAATGGCACCCAAGGTTGCACATCAGGAGTTGGTGGGTCTTGCAAAAGGTCGCGCTGAAATGTCGAGAATGTTCGTGTCTGTGCTGGGATTCCAGAGTTAGGGTGATACTCGGTCCGAATGTCGTCAACATTGTGTCGATGTTCTGAGCCATCTACAGATGGTTCATGTGATGAAGGTATGCGATAAATATCTATCAAATGGCGGCTAGTTATAACGTCGAAGATAAGGATGGTCTTTTTTTACTCACCTTCCTCAAGATCCATCCACTGGTCAACATCTGTGACTGGCTCATCTGAAATGTGCACATTCGAACTCTCTGCCTCAGGCTGATTCGACTCGTTGGCTCCATGGTGTGCATCGATTGGTATATTTACTATTGAGTGTACATTAATATGTCCAGGGATCTTATTAAGACTGAATGAGAATGAACACACCTGAAGGTCCATGATAAGTGTTCACAATGTGATTCCGGTCCTCCTCAAAGTCCCTTGCACATTTTGCACAGGCGGTGCGATGTGTCTTGAAACCACGCAGCTTGAAAGATTTACTACAGAGGTCGCATTGGGCCACCTCTGCCATGTTGGTCCCTGTATTAATATTTTAATTCATGAGTACTGGAAGCAGCCTTAAGGCATAATACTTACTGATTTATTCAACCAACTCAAATGAGAAACAACAATGACGAGTTTAATCTACTGTAGAGTTATGACCGTAACTTTATCACGCATCCCACCCCACAACAAATCAAACCTATTTGATGTGACAGTCACACTAAATTTCAGGGAGCGAAGCTATTTTGTGACACGTGGTAAAACGGGTAAAATTGCTAACAAAAAAACCAAAAATTGCTATGGACAAGTCAGTTGTGCGACCAAAAATCATTATATAGGGTGTTGGCTATGCATTTGTGCTGTCCTCTCCTGAAATGAGGCATCTCCTTGCTTTCCTCTCCCTCACCTGTGTTAGAAGCCTCAGCGACATGAGCATTTCCTGCAACCTCCAACTCATACACCTCCGACTCGTTGTGTGGGATAAGTAAGCCGTTTGGATCAACACTGTAACCAGCTGGTGGGTTCTGGAACAATAGCCATCAAACCACACTTGTCCAAAAAGTTGTCGAAGCTCTGATGAGAGTGCAAAAGATGGGATAGGATGGGATAAAAAGTCCTTTGGAAGCTCAGAATCATTCAAAGCAGATTTTTTGGAGAAAAAGCTAAGCGCTGATCCTTTATCGATGTCGTCGAATGCGAGGTTGATGGGAAGGTTGAGCAATGTATCTACAGAGAGAACTGGGGAGGGGATGGAGATACTGATCCACGGTGGCATAGATTGAAGGTGTTTGATTTCACACTGAAGGATTTTTGGGGGACATGTCTGGAAAAATGCGCAACCACACGAGATCCATTCTGAAGGGTCAAAATTGATGGACATACTGAGGAAAGGCTAAACTCACATAGAATGTAATTGTCCATCCTTTTATCCATTCTAAATATGCCCATGGCAGAGGGCAACAACATGAGGATCTGTGGTCCATGTCACCACCAAAAGGAAGAGAGAAGACATGCAGCTCAGGAAAGGCTAAACTCACATAGAATGCAGTTGTCCATCCATTTATCCATTCTAAATATGCCCATGGTGGAGGGCAATGACATGAGGATCTGTGGTCCATGTCACCACCAAAAGGAAGAGAGAAGATTGTTGCACCGAGTCGGGTTGCAACTTGAACATTTGGTTGGGGTGAAGCTAATTTGGATAGGTCACACATCACAAGGGCCTACGAAGCTGCAAAGCTAAGTGTGACATGGTCACACCCAAAAGGGCGCGAAGCTATGGTCATAACTCTACAGTATATTCAAGTTGGTCACGTCTGAATCTCATTGCAACTGCTTGACAAACATGTACAAAGCATTACGATACCTTGCAATGATGCGAGGTACCATTACAATTTTAATATTATATTTATTTTAATGACCTGCTATTACAATCGCGGTGGGAAATTTCCGACACACTGTGTGAAAACGACAGTGATACCTATCGTTGGATATATTCAGCAGGGTCGACGATACCACTTTATGACAAGAAACGAGTACCATGGATGTGGAGAGCCATTGAGGTGTGAAGAACATTAGCCATGCTGATTTGATTCAAGGAAGAGCTGTCTTATGGGGGCCAACTCCTTGATTATAATAAAAACATGTGGATCACAATAATGTTCCGATAAGACCTTACTTCAGCTCCAAACATCAAGACCTCGAAAACCTCTCATCAGCTAGTAACAGCAAAAACCTCTCTGGTGCTCGCCAATGCCAACAATTCGTCTACATGAAAGGTGGTGCCTAAACCCAACCTACAACTTGGCTTGTTCATTAACTGTCATCCAGTGTTCAACTTTCAACTTTCATCAGTGCATGTGGTGTGCGCATGCCTCACCTTACTGAGCGGTGCTGGAGGTCTTGATCTTTGGTACATTGCAGAAGTAGGGCACAACTCCAATGCTATCGTGTATTTGGTTAAACTAATTTGAAATATAGACCTCATGGTCAGCTATACCATATTGCCCATTGCCCACTGATAGGCTGTTTTGGATTGGGTATTTACCAGGTTCGCACACTGCAATTAATGATATCAAGGCTACCACCAACACTTCTCCGTCACATTTACTACTAGTACCTTCTCCCATGGATCCCTCAAAGATAAGAGAGAAAATTTGCTGTTTTCAAATCCTCATTATAGGAAGAGCGAATGCAGGAAAAACTACCATCCTCAAGAGGGTTTGCAACTCACAGCATAACCCAGAAATATACAACAGCACCAGGAAAAAGGTAAGCATGACAATGTTAGTACTAGGAGGATGGTAATGACTCATCGACATCAGATGGATCTCAAAGTTTTAGAGGAATCTAGAAACATAAGGTGTGCTCTTACTTGAGGACATGAACTGACGTGCTTTTAGCATGGAGAGCACAGTATCAAAAATGAAATGGTGTTTAAAAGCAACCCGGGATTCATATTCCATGATTCATGAGGTTTTGAGGCAGGCAGTGAATCAGAATTTGATATCATGAAGGCTTTTATCATGAAGCATTCAAAGCAACTCAGTTTGCAAGATCGACTCCATGCTATATGGTAATGGCAACCCATTAATCACGACATGCACTATCTCACGGTTTCAACATAGGTACTGCATCCCGATGGATGAGGAATGCAGGTCGTTCACTGCAGGTGAAAAGAAATTTTTCCTTCAGTGCAACACTGGAAGGAGTAAGCTTTCACATATTACCGTTGTTGATGTTCAACTAATGCGCAGAATTACAATCCTCAGTTCCAGTAATCGTATTGTTCACAAAGTTTGATGCTCTCTATGACATCGTGTTCGAGCAGCTGGAAGAGGAAGGAATACTGGGAAAAGATGCTACAGAACAGGCACTGAAATGCGCCCAAGAGTCATTTGCTAATGGACCACAACTGAAGTTTCTCAAGGACGTTCCATGGCCTCCGAAACATGTATGCCTTCCTGGTAAGCAGGTTCATGGTTCAGTTGTGACACAAGATGACCATTGATCGATTAGACATGAACAAGGAAGGTGCAGATTGTGGGCCACTGATTGAACACATGGCTGGAACTCTGGATGATGAAATACTGACACAATTATTTGTCTCCACCCAGCAGACCAACTTGGAGCTCTGCATGAAATATGCAGTTGAGAGGTAACTACCATGTCTCATTTACCTCCCACAAGTGTTGGCAACTAACATTGTCCAGAACACTCTCCAGACTTATCGACTCTGCAGAGACAATGACAAAGGAGAGTCATCAGAAGATAATCAGAGAGCTAGGCTCCTGGTTTCCACATATTGAGGTAAAAAGTCTCTGAGTATTGAGTTCAGGCCATGCTGATCAAAGTCATTGCCTGCTGTGCACAGGTTGTGAGTGTGTCGATCCTGCTTCAAGCTCGAGCCATGCTGATCCAAGTCATCACCCACTGTTCGCAGGAAGTAGTGATGTGCAGGGCCTGGCCTCAAGCCGTGGGCTGAGCCTGACCAGGCTTACTTAGGCCAAGCCCAGCTGAGCCTTGAGGGCGGCCTAGTAGGGCTCATGGCTCGGCCTGAGGTATGTGAAAGCCAGAGCTGGGCCACCAAGCCATGGCTTTCAAGGTAGGTAGGTTTTGATCTTTGCACAGCAAACACTGAACAACTAAATAGTTTTTTGTGCACTTGGCGCACCATAGCCTAAAACTTAATACTTCCAGTCATCTTATCTCCAAATGGCTCTGCGCGTCTATTCAGATGATGAGGACGCACCTCCACAACGTCCTAAACAGGTTGTTGTGCCATCCGCCAAGGTAATCAGCGCTGATAATACTGCTGACCTTGAACTTCATTCTCACAGAAAGGCTCACGGCACCGCCAATGCTGCGCCCTCACACATCCAAACCCCCACCACTGTCACTGCCTCTAATGAGGATGATAGTGACATTGACCCGCTTCACAGCAAACCCAGACGGCTCACAAAAGGTATGTCATTCTTTTGTTTTTCTAGTACTGACATTTTGAATCCTCACAGGCAAAAAACATGCTCATGTTGCTGCCAACGGCAACAGTGAACTGTCCGCAGGGGCTGAACTTGAGCCAGATAGCCTCCTGAATGAGGCAGGCCCATCTGCAACTAGTAAGTCATGACCTGCTGCATTTGATGCTGACAATCTTACCTGTACATGTGGAGTCAATCCACCACAGGCTCCCGCTATCATTGACGATGAACGCGATGCTGACAGATTTCTAAAGGATGTGCAAGTTATGGACATCGATGAGCCCGAAAAATCACGCCAAGAGCAGCAAAGCCGCGACATCAATAAAAAAATTTCAGCCCCATATTCTGACAATAAAGGCAAGAAGTATCGCCATTGCGTGCTATGCAGGTAAGTTCCCATTGGTCTCACTCGTGTTGTACTATAACTGATTATATATTAGCAAAAAAACAAAGAAACCTGTTGCTTTTGTCAACGAAGTAACGACCATGCGCTGTCACATGGAGGCTTTGCATCAGGTAAGCATTTCTGATGCTTACGAGTGATGTGTAGCACTAACTTTGTTCATTTGTAGAATGAATATATTCAATGGGCTGACCACAAAAAATTTACTTCGATGTTACCAAGGGACACGAAACGTCGCAAGCTAGACACTGCTGCAGACTCTCAAGCTCAACTTGACACCCACCTTTCTGACAAGAAACCAAAAGATCGCATCATCCCATATTCAGATGCACTCTTTCGCAATGCTGCTATCAAGTGGTTAATTGAAACTGATCAGGTATGTTTCACTTGTCGCCATTAGGAACATGCTTATTTGTTCAATCTAGCCCATCAATGCAATAAATCACAAGTCTTTCAAGTATATGATTGACACAGCTGCACATGCTACCAATGGTGTTAAACTACCAGGACGACGACAGACACAGCAAGCTATTATCGACCTTTTCAAATGCAATCTTACTGATCTTTGCAACCAGCTACTTGTAAGTGTTCATAATCATGCATTCTTAGCTCACTAACATCGAGATACTTTAGAGCGAGGCAGTCAAAGGCCAAATCAACCTCACATGTGATGCGTGGCAAGCCGAGAATGTCGATGGCTACTTTGCCATCACAGGATCTTGGGTCGAGGAGGTGTCACTGCATGACTGGAAAGTACAAACAGCACTGCTTGGTTTTACCCGCCTCAACAATGCACACAATGGGACACGGCTTGGACAAGCTCTTTTTAAGGTTGTGAAACGAGTTGGTATTGCTCATAAGGTCCAGTAGACAATTTTCACATGTTCATGTCATGACATTGATGTGTTTGTAGATTGGTTATGTTACGTGCGATAATGCTGCAAATAATGACACCATGATGGCGCATTTCGGTATGCATATCGAAGAGTTCATGAAGAAGAAATTTGACCACAAGAAACGGCGACTGCGGTACGTGTTCAAAGAATATATTTTCAATGATTGTTTGACATTTCCCCAGCTGCCTTGCACATATTGTTAACCTCGCTACACAGGCATTGCTCACGGCCCACAGCAAATACGAGCATTTTGACCCAACAAAGCCAGACGTGGTTCTTGTTGCCTCTCGTGGAATCCAGTGTGATGAGGTTGGATTAGTTCGTGCTACATGTGCCAAGGTCTGGGTTTATATTTATTTCTTAATACACAACTAACTTAAGGTTTGCTCAACAGGAATGCTCATCAGCTCAGCGTAAAGAGCTTTTCAAGATAATACAGCTGCGTAATGAAGATGGTCATGTACCGAGCAAGGAACACAAGCAACTGTTGATGGATATGAAAGTACGTTGGTCATCAACGTATGTCATGCTTGAACGAGCAGAGCAGCTTAAGGATGTATGTTTACGTTTTGATCTACCTCTTCCACTATCTGATGTGCATTTATTGTTTTGGACAGGATGTAGACTACTTCGTTGGCCGGATGGGACTTCTCGAGAAGGACCCCCACAAGCACAAGAAGATAACTGACCTCGAACTCACAGCATCTGAATGGAGCTGCGTCAAACTTTTACTTGACCTGCTAAGTGTGAGTGTTTCATGAGATGCATAGACCTATACTTACACGTGAAAAACATGCCGATAATGCCCAGCAAGCATTCTCAACTGACCAAGGCCCAACATTACATCTAGCATTACCTGCTCTGGAGGCCCTATGGAAAGCATGGTCGACTCGTCGTGGCCGTGAAAAGTATGCCGACTTTCAAGATGGACTCACTGCAGGAGTGGCGAAGATTTCAGGGTACTATGAAAAGTCTGCGGACTCTGATGCATACATCATTGCAATGTGTACGTTGAATGTGAATCGATGTTGCATGAAGCTGATTGTTGAACATGCAGTGCTCGATCCTCTTCAAAAGGCCAATCACATTCATCAGTATTGGGGTGAAGACTTGTATCATGAGGCTCTCACTCACGCTGAAGATATGGTAAGTCTTTTGTTGTCATTCACAAGAGTCACGTCTCATGTTGCATTAGTACAAACAGTATTATAAAGAGATGTATGGCAATGGTGTTCCAAAACCTGCAGCGGTGAACACGATCATTGGAGGGAGCCAAAAGCTCACGAACCTCATGTGGGAGCTATCCGATGATGAAGACATGATGTCCACTCCCACTGCTTTGAGTCCCACCTACGATCCTGCGAAGCCATGGCTGCAAGACTTCAACACATACCTTAACTCAAAGGACCACCTTGGTGGTCAAACGATTGTTCAGTGGTGGGCAGTTAATGCTCCTCGCTATCCTGCCTGGGCTGCGATAGCGAGAGACTTCCTCTCGATAATGGGATCTTCGGTGTCAAGTGAATGGGCCTTCTCATCTGCTGGCATTACAATTAGTAAGCAATGGAATCGGTTGAAATCTGACATTGTCAAAGCTCTCCAGTGTCTCAAGTGTATGATCAAAAGGGACCTCTTGTTCCGAGACTTGGGTGACCCATGTATTGCAGCTGAAGTTGATGGTATGGATGGAAGGCTTGACGAGGAAAGGGAAAGCTGGGATGTCATGGTTGAAGATGGAGACTCGGATGATAATGGTTTAGCTAGTGATATTGATGATTCTGAGGATGCAGAGGTACATATACTAATACTAGACGAAATTTGATTTTTTCTGGTGACAAGCCCTGGCCAAGCCTAAGCCGTCTATGCAGGCTCGGCTCACCATTTTTTAAAGCCTGAGCCTCGTCAGGCCGAGCCCTAGCCCCGGCTTTTGAGCTGAGCCGGGCCAGGAACATCACTAGCAGGAAGTGAGTGTGTCAATCCTGCTTCAAGCTCGAGCCATGCTGATCCAAGTTGTCGCCCGCTGTTCGCAGGGAGTGAGTGTGTTGATCCTGCTTCGAGCTCGAGCCATGCTGATCCAAGTTGTTGCCCACCGTTCGCAGGGAGTGAGTGTGTCGATCTTGCTTTGAGCTCGAGCCATGCTGATTGAAGCCATTGTCAATTTGTTGACAGCTTGTGAGTGTGATCATGCTCGGTCGATCTCCTACCTTCCTCACCAATGTAATTGCTGATTTATTGTTAGGATGTGAGTGTGTTGATTCTACATCGTTCTCATTGACCAAGCGCATTGCTACTCCATTAACAGATTGTGAGTTCGTTGATTCAAACTTGACGCATACTGACTGAAGGCATCATCCATCCAGCCACTGAGCGTAAGCGCATCGATCCGCAGTCAAATTAGAGCATCACTGACCAATGAAACTGCTGATCGCTATTTGCTCACTGATGACATTACTTGTTTGCTGACAGGAAGTTAGTGTGCTGATCCTTCATCGAGTTCGAGATTTGCTTACCACTTAAATCTTACATTCTTCAATAGAGAGTGAGTCTAGAGCCTTGCTTGCGAAAGACATCGCTGATCCATCGATAGGACAAGCTTAGCGTCAATGACAGTGCTGAGATACAGTCTATGTTACTCTCTGAGCCTCTTCAGTGAACTAACCCGTCTCAGATGGGCAGCCAAGGGTGACAATGTACCAAGGCAGACGGGCCATCCCACTGGGCCTATGGCTGAAATTGTACCTATATATACGGGTGGGCTGAGTGTAGTGTGTAGCCGATTGAAAGGGATGGGCCAATGGTAGTGTATACCCGATTGAAAGGGATGGGCCGAGTGTAGTGTATACCAGATGGAAAGGGATGGGCTGAATATAGTAAATGGAGTATACAATGGAGACAAGTGGGCCAAGGGATTATTAGGTATAATAGAGATGGATGGGCCGAAATATAGTGGGCCGGAAAAGGAGGTGCCAACCAGATCCGGTCATAGGTGGGGCTGTAGCACCGGTCCATGCGATGTCACCAGTTGTCTCACTTTGTAAAACGGTCAACATTTGACCAAGATATTTACACATTAATATTTGATGTTAGAATACCGGGTAGTGAAATACCGGCCGGAATATACCAGCCAACCGGATCCGGTTATAGGTAGGCTTGTAGCACCGGATCATGGGATGCCACCAGTTGTCTCACTTTGTAAATCGGTCAATATTTGACTGAGATATTTGCACATCAATATTTAAGGTTACAATACCGGGTAGTGAAATACCAGCTGGAATATACCAGCCAACCGGATCTGGTAATGAATGGGCTTGTAGCACTGGGTCATGGGATTCCGCTGGTTGCCTCACTTTGTAAAACGGTCAATATTTGACTGAGGTATTTGCACATCAATATTAGATGGTAGAATACTGGGTAGTGAAATACTGGCTGGAATATACCAGCCAACCGGATCCAGTCATAGGTCGGCTTGTAGCACCGGATCATGGAATGCTACTGGTTGTCTCACTTTGTAAATCGGTCAATATTTGACTGAGATATTTGTACTTCAATATTTGATATTACAATACCAGGTAGTGAAATACCAGCCGGAACATACCAGCCAACCGGATCCGGTCATAGGTAGGCTTGTAGCACCGGGTCATGGGATGCCACCGGTTGTCTCACTTTGTAAATCGGTCAATATTTGACTGAGATATTTGTACTTCAATATTCTGTGTTACAATACTGGCTGAAATAAAAAAAAATAAAGCTGACCTGATCCGGTCATAGGTGGGCCTGTAGCACCAGATCATGGGATGCAACCGGTTGTCTTACATTGTAAATCGGTCAATTGTTCATTGAGATATTTACACTTCAATATTTGATGTTACAATACCGGCTGAGATAAAAAGAACCGACCTGATCTGGTCATAGGCAGGCCCGTAGCACCGGATCATGGGATGCCACCGGTTGTCTCACTTTGTAAATCGGTCAATATTTGACTGAGATATTTGCACATCAATATTTGAGGTTACAATACCGGGTAGTGAAATACCGGCCAGAATATACCAGCCAACCAGATCCGGTAATGAATGGGCTTGTAGCACCGGGTCATGGGATTCCGCCGGTTGTCTCACTTTGTAAAATGGTCAATATTTGACTGAGGTATTTGCACATCATATTGGATGGTAGAATACCGGGTAGTGAAATACTGGCTGGAATATACCAGCCAACTGGATCCGGTCATAGGTAGGCTTGTAGCACCGGATCATGGGATGCCACCGGTTGTCTCACTTTGTAAATCGGTCAATATTTGACTGAGATATTTGTACTTCAATATTTGATATTACAATACCAGGTAGTGAAATACCGGCCGGAATGTACGAGCCAACCGGATCCAGTAATGAATGGGCTTGTAGCACCGGGTCATGGGATGCCACTGGGTGTTTTACTTTGTAAAACGGTCAACATTTGACTGAGATATTTGTACTTCAATATTTGATGTTACAATACCGGATAGTGGAATACCAGCTGAGATATAAAAGCCAACCAGATCCTGTCACAGGTAGGCATGTAGCACCAGATCATGGGATGTGACCAGTTGTCTTACATTGTATATCAGTCAATTGTTCATTGAGATCTTTAAACTTCAATATTTGATGTTACAATACTGGGTAGTGTAATACTGGCTGAGATAAAAAAAAACGACCTAATCCAGTCATAGGCAGGACCTGTAGCACTGGATCATGGGATTCCATCAGTGGTCTTACATTGTAAATCGGTCAATTGTTGATTAAGATATTTGCACTTCAAGATTTGATGTTATAATACCAGGTAGTGGAATACCGGCTCAGATAAATAAAAAAAGCTGACCTGATCCGGTCATAGGACAGGCCTGTAGCACCGGATCATGGGATTCCACCGGTTGTCTTACATTGTGAATCGGTCAACATTTAATTGAAATATTTAAACATAAATATTTGATGTCACAATATCAGGTAGTGTAAAACCAGCTGAGACACAAAAAGCCTACCTGATCCAGTCATAGGCAGACCTGTAGCACTGGATCATGGTATGCCACCAGTTGTCTTACATTGTGAATTGGTCAACATTTGATTGAGATATTAAACATTAATAATTTATGTCACAATATCAGGTAGTGCAATACCGGCTGAGATAAACAAGGCTGACCTGATCTGGTCATAGGCAACCTTTCTATGTGAAAGATCAGTAAGATATATCCTAAACATATGGAAGACAACAGACAATGATATATTATACTGATAAGAGTCTGCAGTCATTCTTTGATAATACGTAAGAGATTGGACTTGGAGATAACATATGTACTGTATGTTGCAGTATGAATCTAAATTATCAAAAGGATCCATCCAAAAATGACTCAACAATGAGCAAAATGACATATCACAAGTGAGGGACAGTAAAAGTGACAAAGGTATCAAATTTGACATATCGCTGATAAGCTTCTGATACATTCCTGAAATTATATATTTCTAATCAGAGAAGTAGAACACATTTCTAGTATACAGTCTTAGAAAATCTGAGATATTCATAATGATCGATCAATAATTAGAGGCAGAGTAATGAGAGTGAGATTTGTGGTACCAAAGTTCATCAGTAACGCACTACTGTCACTGCTTTAAGGCCAGCCACAAATGTATGCATGAATTGTATTTCCGTTGCACTGTCTCTAATTGTTAATGGATCATGATAAATATCTCAGATCCTGTAAGACTGTGCATTAAAAACATGTTGCGGTGATCTGATTGGAAATATAGCACTTTTGTAATGTTTTAGTTGCTTATCAGTTATATGTCACAACTGCTGAGTATTGTAACATAGAATATTGAGTGATTTCAAAAGCAAGACCACCAGTAACATCATATGGACTGTCTCTAGATATTTGGTTATGACCAGGCAAAGGTTGTTGTTATAAATAAGCTGGTATTCCATGGACCTGGTGCTACAAGCCTACTTATGACCGGATCAGGTCAGCCTTTTTTTATCTCAGCTGGTATTACACTACCTGATATTGTGACATCAAATATTAATGTTTAAATATCTCAATCAAATGTTGACCGAGTGACAATGTAAGACAACCGGTGGAATCCCATGATCCAGTACTACAAGCCTACATATGACCGGATCAGGTCAGCTTTTTGTATCTCAGCCAGTATTCCACTACCTGATATTGGAACATCTAATCTCAATATGTAAATATCTCAATCAAATATTGACCGATTTACAATGTAAGACAACCGGTGGATTCCCATGATCTGGTGCTACAGTCCTGTCTATGACCGGATCAGGTCGGCTTTTTAATCTCAGCCAGTATTACACTACCTGATATTGGAACATCAAATATTAATGTATAAATATCTCAATCAAATATTGACCAATTCACAATGTAAGACAACCAGTGGAATCCCATGATCCAGTGCTACAGGCCTCCTTATGACCGAACCAGGTCAGCCTTCTGTATCTTGGCCGGTAGTCCACTACCTGATATTAAAACATCTAATCTCAATGTGTAAATATCTCAATCAAGTATTGACTGATTTACAATGTAGGACAACTGGTGGATTCCCATGATCTGGTGCTACAAGCCTACATATGACCGGATCAGGTCAGCTTTTTTTATCTCAGCTGGTATTACACTACCTGATATTGGAACATCAAATATTAATGTATAAATATGTCAATCAAATCTTGACTGATTGACAATGTAAGACAACCAGTGGAATCCCATGATCCGGTGCTACAGGTCTGCCTATGACCGGATCAGGTCGGCTTTTTGTGTCTCAGCTGGTTTTACACTACCTGATATTGTGATATCAAATATTTATGTTTAAATATTTCAATTAAATGTTGACCGATTCACAATGTAAGACAACCGGTGGAATCTCATGATCTGGTGCTACAGGCCTGCCTATGACCGGATCAGGTCAGCTTTTCTTATTTATTTGAGCCAGTATTCCACTAGCTGGTATTATAACATCAGATCTTGAAGTGCAAATATCTCAATCGACAATTGACCAATTTACAATGTTGTTACAATAACATTTACTCCTATTCCATTTTTCTTTTCTTGTAACCATGCCGCCGACTCTAGACTCATCTAGACTCGGCTATTCTCTTATCAAGCGGGCTGTCCGCACTTCTCTTCTATCTTGATTGTAACATAGATACTATCTTGTGCCGCATGGTAGTTTCACCTATCTTTGCTATCTGGATAGGTTGTACTCTTTTTCCTATCTTTGTTACCTTTCTTGTCGCGGCTATGCCGCTCCCTTTTTACCTATATAAACCCCATGTACCATAGATGTATTCCTTAACTTAATCTACTGGGTTTTCCCCTTGAAACCTGATCTACTAAGGTCTCCACCCTTAGTAGCCTGAACTCTGATTCTAAGACAGTCACTCACTGTCTTAGCCTGAAACCCTTGATTGCGGTAGAAGTGCTAAAACCACTCACCGCCTAGGCAGAAGTGCTAAAACCACTCGCCGCTGATCCTGCATAGAAGCCGCGGCTCGTGCAGTAGGAACCACCAGAAACCTTCCTTGTATTAGGAAGGCCGACGAACTGTTCGCCCGACAGGTCTATCTTGACCGGCAACAGCAGAACTATCCCAGTCGTAACAAAAGATTAAGTTCCTCACCCAGTACCTGTTTTCCAACAGTACTTTGACACCATTGATTCGATAACCGCGAACATCCTTGCCGCCGCATTTGGAAACATGTCGGGACCATCCGCCTCATCCAGTGCCGCCGCTGCCGCAGCAGCAGCTGCCGCCGCCCACAGACCAGTTGAAATTAAGATCGGAACCCCACCGACCTTTGATGGCAACGAGAAGAACGCAAAAAGCTTTTTGCTCTCGGTCGCCGCCTACCTTGACATCAACAGTGAAATCTATGACACTGACAAGAAATGCATCATTTTCGCCACCTCTTTCATGAATGAAAAGACGGCATTGACCTGGAAGGAGGACTTCCTGACTCTAGCTCAAGACACCACGAGGCTAGACAAGAACAAGCAACCCATTGGGTATGGAACGTGGGAAGATTTCAAGAAAGCCTTCCTCAAGGCATTCACCACGGGAGAAGCAGCCACCGAAGCGTGGATCAAGCTTAGGACCTTCAAACAAGAAGGGATCCTTAGAAGAATACATCGCGGAGATTAGACATCTCTTCCAGTTAACCTAGCCTGACTGATGAAGGATCAGAGGTCCACTTCTTTACCGCCGGATTAAAATTCGGAATTGCCAATGCTATCTACAGAGCAGGCAATATCTCGAAAGACTTCGAAGGAATGGTCAATACGGCCAGAGAAATGGATAACGCCTATCAGCAGATCATAGCGCTGAGGCCCAAGAACCATAACCAGAACCAGAAGAAGAAGAACCGGTTTGGACCTGAAAGGTACCAACCGCGAGGAGACAGAGACTCCATGGAGGTCGACCGCCTCTCAGAGAAAGAAAGGGCCGAACATATGAGAGCAGGCAAATGCTTCATATGCCACCAGACTGGCCACAGAGCCAATGATAGGGAACACCACCCGAAGGAGAAGAAACCGGCCCGTGAGGCCAAGCATAAGGAAGAAGAATCTGACGATGAATCTATGGATAC